GCTTTTGGAAACGTGCCTAAGACCTAAGGTTGAATTTGAATTTGAAATTGTTCTCATTCATCGTTGACCCCTTGTTGAAACCTTCAAGTTGTTAGATCTTAAGTACGCACCGTCCACCGTCCATTGATGAGTCAATCATATATTAGCTGATGTCTGGCCAACAATAATAGACTTCTAAACTACACGAGCGTGCTCACTACTAGATACCCTATACGCAAGTCAACTTATCTTTTTTCCCACTGTCTTACATTTCATAAGATCTCAGATCAATTTCTTATGGCTGACGGATCACCATTCTCTCTCTCTCTCTCCCTCTCTCTTCTCAAAATGCATTCCCAATTTACCAAATCAAGATGATAATCTAAAACAAAAAAACCTTTTAGTAACACAAAACAAGAGCAGCAACCACATTCATAAATCACAGCTCTCTTAAGAATTGATTTCATTTGGAGAGTATTGTAGCGACCTTCTCATCCTCTCTTTAATTTAAATGCTACGCTCTTTTGTAGCCTTTCGTTTTACTATTGCTACTGGTACATACCTTAACAGAGCAGTTGCAGAGCCAATCAATCTTGTTCTCTCTGCAATTGCTATAACCACAGAGAGCACAATGGAATCTTGTCTGCTCTTGCTGCTGCTATTGCTATTGCTATTGAGTAGAGCAAAGCAAAGCAGAGCAAAGCAAAGCAGAGCAGAGCAAAGCAAAGCAGAGCAAAGCAAAGCAAGGCAGAGCAAAGCAGAGCAGAGCAAAGCAGAGCTGAGCAGAGCAGATCATAGTGAATGAGCATTCACATCACTTTTCTGCTCTTGCTCTGTCAAAGGTCGTAGCAGATCAATATTTGAGTAAAAGATTTTCTGGCATATTTTGTTTTTGCTTTGCGCAGCTTAGTTTTGGCCGCTAACTGACAAAAAACAGTTTGCAATAATGTTTTCCTGTTTTCCATTTCCATTTTGTGCCAGCTTCAATTTCAAATCAGGCAAATTCTGATTATATTATTTGTGGTCATGCACCACTTATAAACAAATTTGAAATGATTTTTACACTGATTCTTTCAACGGTTGTCAACACTACAAACACTTTCTTCACAATGCAAAGAATGGATAATTTTGCGTTTTTTTAATTTCAAACAAGTTTAAGTTAAAGAATCTTGTTAATTTTTCTTTTTTAACTGGTTGTACAAACTCCTTTAAATTGTATAAAAATAATAAAAAGAAAAATATAAGTAGAAAATAAAATTTTTTTTTACAAAATAAATGAAAAAAGGTGAATTTTTTGCTGTGTCCGTTCTTGATACAATGATACATTAAGAACTTCTGCGTTGATTAAGGATCGAAAATGTCTACAGCCAATCAATATAATGTCAAGGTAAGCAAGGTAATTTAATCGGTTTACCTGTTGCCGAAATTATCGATAAAATGACAACAAACAACAATCATCAGCATACGCTATAGACGAACCAATATTCCAAATTTGGAGTCACTCAGCTCCCATAGACTGAACAGGCAGACGGAAACGGATGACGGTTGACGGATATGCTTTCTTCTTCCTCTTTGCCCCATACATGTATGTATGTATGTACATTTGCACAAGTTTATTTGACCCGTTTTACCAATTTTAAATGAACACAGGGTATAAGGGCAACAACAACAACAACAACAACAGCAGCAACAAATATGCGAGCAAACAGCAACAAGGGCATGTCGGAGAATTACCTTAAAGCAGCTAAAGCAGTCGCACACCCACACACACCCACACACAAACACACACAAACACAAACAAACACACACACACACGCACGCATACACAAACAAACTCCAGCCACGTACACAAAAGCTGAGGCAGACTGAAGCCGTAAACCAAAATGCCGTCCAGAAGACAGGTGCAATGTGCAATCTTTTGGTATTTTGTTGGCTTTGCACATTTGGCGTAATGCCAAAAAAAAAAAGAAAAAATAAAAATAAACATAAGAAAAGAAAAAAAATAGAATAGAATAGAATGGAAGAGAGCAAAGCAAAACAACTGCGGCAACAGCAAAGACAAGTACAATGAAAATTCAACACCTGAAAAATGCAAACACTTAAAAGACGTCAAGAAGCAAACTCGACGCGGATGGCAAGGACGAAGAAGGCAATATCGATGTGCCAGCACTTTGCCAGTGATGAGGGCGATGACGACACAGACGGAGCCAGAGCCAGAGATGGAGCCAGAGACGGAGCCAGAGACGGAGACGGAGACGGAGCTGCTGAGCTGCTGAGCCTTGGCCTGAGCTGCAAGCACAGCAAGGACGTGCATTCATTCAAATCGACTCCGGCTCGAGTCTGCCCAGTTGCGAAGCACAACGCATACAAAAGAAATTCATTTTAATGCACAGGCAGAGTCAGAGGCACAGGCACAGGCCCGAGCATTTGCCACTGCCACTGTCTGGGGCAGGAAACCATTGCCTGTGGGATCGGGTCGCGGGGTTGGTGTTGGGGTCGGCGGCAAGGTCTGCGTGCGCCTAAACGCTGCAAATGCTTCATTCTCCGCGCTTCTTAAATTTAAGCTGCCAAAGCGCATTGCTGCGACTACACTTGGAGAAAAAATGCAAATCGTTCTAAAAACACATAAAGTTTTTCTTGTTTTCAGAAATATTTCTTAAATATTAGGAAAACAAATTTCTAAAATTTTAGAGAACATATGAGAATTTTTTTTTTATTGGATTTTTCAAAATTTCTAATAACATTCACCCTGATATAGATATGCTAAACTTGGTTTTTAGAGAGCCACAATCATAGATTTTTGAAATTTCCTTTCTGAAAGTATGACAATTAATGGCGATCAACAAAAATGTAGGGCGATTTTTTTTTAGTGTAGAGCTGCAATCGGAGATGGAGCTGCAGTTGGAGTTGGAGTTGTAGCTGGAACTGGAGCTGGAAACTGTGGGCGGCCAAGTGGCAAGTCAAGCCAAGTTGAGTCTATAATTTTTGTTGTGGTTCCTGTCTATTGTCTTTACGCCGTTCTCCTCCTCACTTTTGCCATTACCACAGCACCCAATTTTCACTGCCCTGCTTTACGTCGGTTTTACTTTACTTAGCAGACTGCCGACTTTTTTGCGTACAACATTTAAAGTAGGCTGGCATTCGTTTTGGCCCGATTCACCGATTTCAATTAAACGCGCGCCCATTAAATGTGTCCATGGTGCAACTGAAGTATTAAGCAGTTTGGATTTTTCTTTTTCAGCTAACCGGCACGGCTCAAGGCGCCTTTTGATGGACTGAAAAATGTTGCTTTTGTTTTTGTTAATTAATTTTATTCTGTATTATCAATCCATTGCCTCAAATGTATACATTTGACTGCTGCTTATGATTGAAACAATAAATCGTTTTCCTAACTGCTGATTTAAAAAATCGAGTCTCAATATTTTTATAGGCTTTCATCAATTTTGTTGTTTATGAAATTAATTGCATATTCCATTTAACGAATCTATTTCAATAAGCGCGCTGAACGCTTAGTGTGGCTGAGGAATAAGAAGAAAGAGGAAGAAATGATCACGGTATCGATAAATGATAATGTAGAATCTATCGTACAAGTGGCGCGATGCCAGACCACCTTTTTGCTGCGTACTATTCTAGTTCAGAGCCGGATCAAATCCCTATATCAACAATTGGCAAAAAAAAGAAAAGTTTAAAATTGTGGTAGGAATCGAGAGAGGCGTTTACCAGTTCTGATCACATATATGTAACTACATATGTACACTTTCTGAAATGTTGATAAATCAAATGTTGATAAAACGTACAAAAACATAATCATTTTTCAAACTCAAGACAAAAATGTAGCTGTCACCGATGACATCTTCTTTCTAGAAAGTGTGCGTAGTCTTCAGCATGCCAAAGATAATTTGGTTTTCTAGTTTATTGTTCATTTTAGTATTGAGATATTGATTTGGCATTTCCATAATTTCTTAAAAATAACATTTTATTTATAAATAAATATATAACTCTTATTAATTCAATCTGCAATATGATCATTAAATTAGGCCAGCGAATATCAAAGATATTTTTTTCTTAAGTCTTACAATTTAAGCCTACAACATACTGAGAAAGTTTTGGCCATATGTCAATGCCACTGAATAATATAGCCTGCAACATTCCGAGTGGTATGCCTATAACAATTTGACATGGATCTTCATATTATGGTTAAGGATTCATTATTACGAGTATAACTTGTGTAGCCCAGAAATAACAGAAGCATCCGAGCGCGCAACGCACAGGAACGTTGAACGGCTTTACGCTGACTGACTAACTGAAGCCAAATACTCGTTGGAAGCCAAATATAGTGAATCCTCTTAGCCTGCGTTGAGTGAAAGCTCTCGGAATGCCACTCAAATTCAAAGCGCATGTGCCTAATCGAATAAAAAGCTCAACATTTGTGGGTGGCGCCAATTTGTACTCAATTTTTTTTTATTTACTTTTTTTTTTGGCAGTATAAACTTTCGCTCGTACTGGCCGTCGTGTCCGCCTAGGCTGCCGGTATTACTGTCAACTGTTGGATGCGTTCGCCTTGCAAGAAATCTGGCAAATCAGTTCACATCGGTACGTCTGATGAATGACTGTCGCTGATTAAGCGTCTGCTGAGTCATCGATATTAATTTATATGTTTTCCATGTAATCGCCTACATGTGCATTATTATGTATGTATGCATAAGATATATATACGTACAATAAATTCTCCAGGAATATTGGTAAACTGTATGTCGACTATGTCGATAGCGCTAGGTTGGCAAATTTGCTTAAAGTTTGGCTCAGAAAGCTAACAATGATTTCAAATCGGCCGCCGCCGTTAATGCCGAACAATTAGGTTGTTAGCAGAGACAACAACCATTCGGCACGGTTGCATATATACGAAAACAATCGCAGTGTTGGTTAGCAGAGTATCGATAACAACGCAATCGATGCACTTTTTTACATCCCTACTCCAAAATAAACAGCACGAAAAAAAAGACTACAACAAAAACAAAACGCAACACAAACTGAACGCGAACATAAACTACAATAGCAGAAAGTCAACATTCAGCAAAAAAAAAAACACGAATGTAAATGGCCATGGCTAAAGGCGACATCCACTAAACAGGCGAAAGCTAACAGACTGAGCCTACTTTGCGCGCAGTTGACGCAATTATGCAAGTTGCAATTGCCGCAATAACAAACTGTACTTGCTGCTAGGTAAAAAAGGAAAAAAACTGCTGCTCACTTGCACTTTTTCAACTTTGGGGCCACAGAGCCACAGTGCAGCGATGTAAGGCGCTGCTTGCAGCAACGCGCACAAATTCAGGTGAAATCAGCAGCAGCAAGTAAGTAAAAGGCACGCACAATTCCCAAGGGCTCAACTCAACAACTCTCTCTCCCTCTCGCTCTCTGTCACAGAAATGATGAATACCAAACATTCCTCGGAACCATTCTTTATATCAACCAATTTGTTCGACAACCGGCGACTCAAGCGCCGCGTGTGCAAATGGATGGACCGCCTGCGCGAACGGCAACAACACTTTTACATGCATGCCCAAGCACCTGTTCCCGTTCCCATTCCAATTCCCGTTCCCGTTGCCGTTCCTCCTGCGCCTTCTGCTTGCAAGACTGATCGCATGAGGCGACGTTGCCATATGTCGTCGTCGTCGATGTTGTCGCGTCGTCATGTGGCCGCCACACTGCCCGCAGATATCACCATCGATCTTCTGTCGGATGACGACGATGATGATGGCGATGACGACAACCAGACGAGGGCGAGGACGACTGCTCCCAGGCCATCCAATTTGACAGTGAGCAACGGCAGTCTGCAGTTGTCCATGGTGCCGAACATCACTTTGGTGCCGGCGGCGCATAGCTCGACCATGTTGCTAATGCCAGCGGGCAGCAGGAACAGAAGCAGGAAACGTTGTGGAGATGTGACAACAACATGCAGCATTGTCCTCACCAGTGACGATGAGGATGGCAGTCGAATATTGGCCAGTCGCCGAATAATGCGCTCCCCACCGCCGCTGGCGCCGCTCACCCGCTCATCCGGCGTTGGCGCCGTCGTCGAGGAGGAGGTAACTGTGTCGCTGGTGCCACGGAATTCGACCACTGCCAACTGCCAGGCGCGCCAGGCCTCGTTCCACAGCAATCCGAGCAGCTGCAGCACACCAAGCACCACATCACCCAAAACCAGCCACTTCGATGGCTATCTCCGGGTAGATGTGGATGGCGGTGATGTGGATGCCGTTGGCGCGTTACCGGATGAGACCACCGTGCACACGGTCATCGCGAATCGCATCTACGAGCTGTCGCTGAGCAAGTTGCGCGAGGGGCTCGCCTCCAGTGGCATGCCTGAGTATGCCCAAGATCTGCTGCCCGAGCAGCTGCAGAAGCTGTCGCCGGCGATGCGTGCCAAGGTTGCACCGATGGTGGCGCCGTCGCCACCGGCGCCAATTTCCCTCAAACTCTCCAGCGATCTGAGCATATCACTGATCTCCGATGACGACGATTGTGATAGCGCCAATGGCAATGGAATGACAGCATCAGCAACTGCTGCTGGTGGCAGAGGCAGAGGCGTCGGCATTGACCTGTTGCATCCCGTTGTTGCGGCCGAGGCGCATGCCGCCGCCAAGTTACTCAAGCAGCAGCAGCCACAGCTCTCCGTGGTGCAGCATCTACAGTATCCGGGCCATGGCACCCCCGTTGCCCTGCCCGTTGTGGCGCTCGGGGCAACGCCGCCGACAACAAACAGACGTCGCAAATTAGGCTAAGATTCATGGAATCATTCCAATCAATCCCCCTTCCCTCCCTCCCCCCAAAAACACATACAGAATTTGTCTTATACTAGCCCATAGTGCAAATTTATAAGCGTAAATGCATACATGTAAAAGAATGAGATGACGCTGCCTTGGAATCAGTTGAAGGAATTGTCAGAAGCAGAGGCAGAGGCAGGCAGATGTCGAATAAACAGTTGCCGTGAAATACACGGCTTTCCTGTCAGTCGTTATTAACGATCTCTCTCTGTCTCTCTCCGGAAACCCTAAATTGGAGGTCAGGTCAAACACAAACGAAGTTGGAAGCAAAAAATAAAACCATACATTGGAAGTCAAACGTCGAACAAACTGCGCTGGAAGCTAGTTGATCAAGCCGTGCACACTTGAATGTCATCATCCTCCTCACACTCAAATTATAGACTTGCAGTTCCAGTTCCAGTTTGGTGCAGTTGAACGTGTCTCCCTCCCACTTACGTGTTTTGCATGCGACACACAAGAAACACGAATGGTTCCGTCTTTCTCTCATACCTTAGGCCTTTTAAAACATACAATTTTAAAATTATGAAAAATTATAGAAAATACAATCAATTGAGCGGGAAACAAATTCACAATATTTATATAATACACACAATTATTTGTATACATCGTTTAGCTGTAAACACTTTATTGGCTTGGAGTAGTCTTATGTATATACATTTTACTAGAATAACTGATTCCCGATCCGCTCGCTCGCAACAAGGCTCTCAATTGATATGGCCAATAATAATAACCAACTGGCAACCATTGGCGATAATACGGCTACACAAATTGTAAATATTAATCCACAGTCCTAGTTGCTAAGAAATTGTATTATAGAATATTTTTATTTTGATTAACAATGTATGTATATAAAAAACAAAAAGAAAACAAGTGATTGATTGTCTCTCGTACATTTCTGTTAGTTGAGTGCGTTTTATTGCCTGCCACCAGAAAATTATAAACTCCATCAAATATCCTGCAGTTGGAACAAAACTCAGAATGCAATAGTCGAGTGAGCTCCTCGACTACGAGCTAACCTGCCTGCCACCCAGCTGTTAAATATATTATTCCACTTTATTTGACAAATTATAAATATATGTATACAGAACTGGAATCAAGGGCTTGCGATAAGAACGTGTCTACAAAATTTCTACATATGTGTATGTATATATATATATATATTTATATATAGGTATATACTTTTACGTTTTGACTATAACTTGGGTATTTCTTATACGATTTTGATATAATAATGATTTGTCATGGAATATTATGTTTAAATTGACAAGCTATATCTTTAGACATGGGGCTTTTATTGCTATTGGAAATCGATTTGTATCGTTATTCGCGAAAACGTGCGAGTTATCGATAAAATAAAATAAAAAGAACTTTTATTCCAAATTTGGAGAGATTAGCTCATACAGCCTTTGCTTTTGTGAATGTTATTTTGTGTGCATTGTTAAGAAAAGAAAAGCTTTGGGTTAACAACAATTATGCCGAATATACATGTATGTTGTTTATATGTGTATATAGTCTGTTTATCGTTGGTAGTTGCTTTGAAATTAGTTGTGCAAATTGGCAGCACTGACACAGCACTTGCCACACGACGCATGCGTCTTTGAAAATATCCCGCGTAGCTTTTTAGGGCGGAAACGCTTTCTGATATACCAGAAATAATTTTGCTGTTGAGTGTTAAAACGTATCGAACGGGTTTTAAACGCGTTTCAATTGCCACGGCTGCGATTAGCGCGAGAGATGAGTTAAGATAGAAGTTAAATCTCACAATAACTATATATAATAACCGAGAAGTGAATAACGACTAATTATACAATTTAATTATCAACAACACAAGCCGGCCATGCCAAGTGGTACAACATATATTTTCCATTTACTCTCCATCTTTACATTGTTTGTACCCACACACAAACACACATACACATATGCATATATACCCCACATTGCTGTGCCTATGCAAGGTACAATCGTAGCAAGTGCCTATGTCTCTATGGCTATGTATATTTAATTACTTTCACACACATACATATGCATATGTAAAATGTCTGCAATGCACATGTACACACACATACACACACACATACAGATTTGTTAAAAAAGCTACAGCTGTAATATCCTTTGAAATGCCACAACACTTCAATTTTGCATTATTAAAAATTCACAGTGGTGAAGTTGAATAATGTGCAGTTGGCTCCTTAACAAACGCATTTGAATATATGTATGTATGTAGATATCTATTTATGTTATGTATATGTGTATACATAAATATATATATATTTAGGTCTCGAAGGAACTGAAGTATTCGTATTCGTACTCGGCGCTTATCGATGCTTGCCATTTTCTACCACACCCACACGACAGAATAATCCAGGCATACTTCACACACACACACACACACACACACACACATATATATATATACATATGTATATATATATAGGTATATATTTACGTGTGTGTGTGTATATATATTCATGTAACACACATACATACATACTTATGTACTTTGCAGTTACAAGTTTACATAGCTATGCATGTAAGCTTGCATATGTAGATGTATATGCATGTACCTAAATTCGTATATATGAACGCTTATGAATATTCTTACCGGCACAAAATGTAAACAAAGTTAAAAAGAAGATGCACTGCGTATGTATCCATGTACATATGTACGTAAGTGTAGGTATACATACGTAAATACTCCTCTACTTACATATGTATGTACATGTATGTAGATATGAATAAGTACATATACATTAACTTCAACATATTTATTTCATGCTCTGCATATGTATGTATACATATGTATCGAAATGGGAACACAATACATACTCACAACAAACAGAATGTCTTTTTTTTATACAGTAAACACAGTTGCGCAAAATCATCAATAAGCGAAATACAAGAATTAAGAATTGTGCACCCAACCGAAGGTAAACGGCGAAAATGTTGATTCGTTGGAAAAGCAAAGATAAGAATGCATCGGCAAATCAAGGCGGCACTGGAAGCAGCAGCTCATCATCAAAAAAGAAACGCAAAGGACGTGAAGGAGGTAGAATACAAAATAATATATTTATTGCCATTTAAAAATGAAAACTGGTATATTTTTTTATTTATGCTGCTCCCAGCATGTTTTATCGCCTTATGATATTGTTGCTAATTTTGCCGGCAAAATCCAATCAAAAAATGAACAGATCTGTCCGACAAAAAGGCCAAAACGCCAGCACTGATGTTAATAAGGGTCTGTTTTGCAGAGTGAAGCCAAAATCAAAAAGTCAGTCACGAAATTGCAATTTATTTCGATTGTGGTCTGCTGAGAGCCAGTAAAATAATTAAATAATTTTCTCGCCTTTACGGCCTTTATAAGTAGACCTTTTTCTTGACGGTTCAAATCAATTTTCTCACACAATTTACTTTTTTTTTATTTCGATGCACTTGCCACGTTTGTATATCAAATGCATTGCCACCGTCAAACAGCTGTTCACAAAATCCACATAGGTTAACAGTGAGTTAACAGTGTGCATTTCAGTTTTTGCTGTCAGCAAAACCGATCGTCAAAATTCCGCGACCCGTTTTACGTCTGTTTTCAGGATCGATAATTTTTTTTTGACCTGTAAACAGGCCCTTAATACATTGGCAATAACCAACGATGGCAGTCGAATATCGATAGTTATTTTGTGCCCGTTTGATTAAGGCGTTTTTATATACTGTTTTCAGAAGAAGACTGGCAAAATGAGAACAAACCCGGTCGCTTGCCGGCCAACGAACCAGGTGAGTTATGCTTCACATATCACATGTATGTATGTATGTATGTATGCATGTATGTTCTAATTGGCTTGAATCTTTCAAAAGGAGGCGAGGAGCGCAGACGCGCAATGCGCCGCGACGATCCAAGGCGGCACACGCTTGGTGGCGACATTCTCGTTTATGGTGGCTCACAGCATCCACACGCCCATCAAATGCCGCAGCAGCAACGCGCCATGGACCTGGAAGTAAGTCGAGCAGACCGAAAGACGAGATCTCTCTGAAAGGCTGTCGTCATATTTTTGGTATTTGTTTTAGATGAGTACGAGGGCGCAGAAGAACAAGAAGAATCAACCGATGCGTGGCTATGCACCCGTTAATCAGGGGCCCCTTTTCGACGATGATCCCGGCATTATGTCTGAGGTGGAAACGGCTAGCACGGGATTTCGTCGGGGCGGCAAACAGCGCTCGTCGTTGCCCGTGGTGCGAACACCATCGAAGACATTGGAGCGGCCGCTTGGCCTCGTCTTTCTGCAGTATCGCTCGGAGACGAAGCGAGCACTCCTCCCAAATGAGATCACATCGATAGATACGGTGCGAGCGCTGTTCGTGCGCTCGTTTCCCCGTCAGCTGACCATGTCGTATTTGGAGGGGCCAAACGTTAAGATCTATATCCATGATGCCAGCAAGGACATGTTCTATGAACTGGAAGATGTGCGTTCCCATCTGCGCGAAATACGTGATCGTTCCGTGCTGCGCCTCTTCGAGTCGACCGAGGTCGCCGCTCCGCCTCAGATTCTGCCCGGCGGACCGGGCATACCACAGCCATTGCCACAGGCACAGTCTAGCTGGGATCAGGACCAGAGCTACTTTAGCGAGCCTGAATTCGACTCGGACTTTAAGCACCAGCACATTCACAAATCGAAGGTAAGATTGTCCTACTCTCTTCTACGGTTCTACTCTCAGAACAAAAAAAATCACCCAAAGGGGGTTTTTTACCCTATTATTCAGAAAGCGAATTTCTAAAATTTAGTGCTGTGGCTTATGGGGTCGGAGATGCTTCCTTCTGCCTGTTACATACATTTGCCCAAAGCCATTATACCCTTTTTATCATTTTTTAATGGGTATTTGGGATTTTTTTTCTCCCAATATTTAGAAATTATTTGTACAAACAAGAAAAACGTTCAATTTCTCTGAATGAATTTCATTTTAGAGTAATTTTTTGTCCTGAATCATCTTTATATTACTAGATTTTGAGGTGGATGTCCACTTTAATATATTTATATAAATATGTATGTGTGTATATATACATAAAGGTGAAAGTTTTCAAATAAAGTCAGCTCTACTCAGCATTAATAGTACGCATATACTATTAGTGTATATATAATACATATGTAGATACTAAGATACAAAAAAAAAAATATTATATGTACTTTAAGCGTTATATGAACCAAAATGCTAGACTTCTGCTTAAAATGTATTTGGATAGCACTGACTGACTGACTGACCGACTGACCGACTGGTCGACTGACCGACTGACTGACTGCTAACCGTGGACAGTTAAAAATGTCCGCATGTGCCAACACTGAGGCCCTTAAGGGTGTTGTTCATGTGCTCGTTGACATCCTTCCAGGCGAAAACGATTGCACCCTGGAATGGCTCCGGATCACAGTTGCTGCATATGGCCATGACGGCACTGACTTCCTCCTCGGCTGGCTCGCGATCGTGTGAGCTGATTTCTTCTTCCAGGGTCATCTTTAGGGTCAGATCATGCTTGAACTGCTGACCTCCAAAGTCTGCAAGACCATTATATTTGCTGCTGCTACTCTCGTCCAGTCCATCATCAACCAAAGAGCCATCCTCAAGCAAAACCAAGCCACGCTTTCGCAGCTTTTTATCTTTGATGTCATCCTTTGCGCCCTTGGCATTCGCCTGCCGCTTAAATTGTATATGCGTCTCTGTCTCATCTATGAACTGGACATTTGCCGCGTTGCTCAGCATATGGAAGCGTCCAGGCTCAGCGCCCGGATTGGGCCGGCGATGGCTTTGAGTTATCGGCGATATACCGAGCAGCTGCTGAGCAACCAATCGAGAACCGGCATTGATCTGGCCATTCACAAAATTGGTATTAAGCGTGATTGCCTGTTGCTGTGGTTGCTGTTGCGGCTGGAATTCGACAGTGCCCGTTGGCTTCTGTGTTGGCGCCGAGTTGGCCAAGTTAATGCGCACTCTGGTTGGAATTTGGCCGCTTGCCAGCAGCGAGTGCATCGGCTGTGGTCGATTTATCTAAAATAGAATAGTACTCGAGCATGGAGATTATTAATTATTATATTAATTATTAGGACAAACTGACCATGGGTGGCGCACGCGCTGTGCTGGACACCTCCTGACCCTCGTGGTCGAAATGGTGCACATGGTGATGCTTGTGATCACGATGTGCCTTCCCCGCACTCAACGCCACGCGATAAATCTGTACGAGGGTCACCTCGAAGTGGAGGCCGTGGCTTACTTCGCCGGTCACCGAACTGCCTCCGGATCGCATTTTTCCCTTTGAGGGTACCTTATGGCCCACTAGCTGTGAATTGATTGCAATTGTGATTAAATGTGTAAAAAATATTTCTAAAATTTCGATTTTAGAGCTTAGCTCTGTCGTCTGCCTTACAGGCATTACATTTATAAATATATACTTTCCCAATAATAAGGGGATTCAGTATGGGGAATTTCTAAAATTCAGTGCACTTTTTTGTTGTTGTCTGAGTGTAATACGTAATATGCCAGCAATGGCATAATCAGAAATTCAGCTTCACTCTCGCAATCTTTCCCTCAACCAGTTTCCAACAGTTGCCGCCGTTCGTTCACTGTAAATGTCGTTATGTGGGGCTGGCTAAGCAACTGTTTCCGTCGCGTAATTAGACACTAGCCAACTAGCCAACTTCTGCTTCTTGGCAAGCTACTCACCGAATTGTGGAAGCCACGCCCAATACGCTCTGCCTTGAGCCAGACCTGCCACTCGCCAGTCTTTCCATTCCACGAGCTGCACATGTGATGCCATTGACGCATACGCAGCGGATAATTCAATCTGGATGCATTAAGGCATTATTATTATTATTATCATTATCAGTTTGTACGTATGGGAAGATGTATATATAATATATATATGGCGTTAGATGATTGGAACTATGACGTACCTGTACATTTGTTGACCTTTTATGGCCATCGATAGGAAACTGGAATTTTGCGCATTTGCGACCCAGATTTGTATCTCGCGGGGTTCCTTTTCAACTGTGGAAGTTAGACAGAGTTAATTGGAAAGAAACGAGAAGAAAACAAAAAGTTGAAATGCCATCGATGGCGTTTGTTATGAAATTTGAGCAATTTGCGCGATATATTGGATGCTGCACTGCACTAGTTAAGTCAAAACAAACACTAAATGCCCCAATGCTCTCCATATGAGTCTTGACTTGTTTTACAATCTCAGCGGACCAAAAATAAAAAATAAATGTTTTGTTTTTTTTATCTTATATGCAATATAAGATCTAAAAGCGCAGTCTCAAATAAACTTAGCAATCATCGGCCATGAATAGTGGTGAGATGGCGGGAAACTACACCAAAATCCTGTTAACATAATAATTGCATATGTTTTGGTATTTCTTTTGCTGTTGCTGTTGTTGTGGTTGCTGTTGTTGTCGTTTGCAGGGCAACTAACTTCGTCTAACCGTTACCAGTTTGGTGGACTCCGCTTTCCGAGGTGTGTTGTCTCGGGTCACGACAGCATCTGTTGAGTGTTGGGGTCCGGAAGCTTTGTACGCAGCTTGAGTTGCATATTTAAAACAATCTCAAACAGTTAAAATAACAAAAGCGACGATAGCAGCGGTAACAGCAGCTTACTGCAAACAGGTAAATTTTGCGCTTATGTAATGTGGTCGGTCGGTCTGTCTGTCTGCCTGTCTGCCTGTCTGTCTGCTTGTCGGTCTTTCGGTCACAAGCAACAAGTTGTAAATTGTGAAGATGAAAGTCGTAGCGATTATCTTATCTTATCTGCCAAATACTTGGTAACAACAATTTAACCGCATTTGCGCTGCTCTGCCCTGAACATCAAAAGCATAAACGAAAGACAAGCGTTTTATGGTCAATCTTCGTCTATTGTCGATTCACTACACTGTTTTGCATCAGGAAGTTGGCTTCCTTTCACTTTTCCCGGCCCCAGCATCGGTTAGTGGATCGCATAGTCCACAAAGAGAGCCCAAAAAGAGAGCTCTCATAGTGAAGGTCTTTTATATGTTGGCTTTGACGGGGGCATCAAAACAATTGACGTCTGCTTATATAAGAAGAAAGGGCGATGAAGAAAGTCTATTCAAAAGGCCAGACCAACAAAAATCTTTCCATTATTTTCATGCACACAATAAAGAATTCGTTATGCTCATCATCTGTGGGAATCACACTTCGTCTAGCCATTGTCTCTGTCACTCACCTTCGTAGGTAAACATAACATGATCCCCAGTGTGGTTCGTGAAACGCATCCAGAAGCACAATGTGAACTGATCCAGCTCAGGTAGCCCATTGCCGTAATCGACAGCGCCGTCTTGATTGAACGCAAACTTTTTAACACTGCAGCTGTCGGAGACGTAGAGGGGAGTGCGCGGAAAACTGAGAGAAGACGCCCCATCGGCAACACCTTCATCCTTGTAGCTGTAGGATTCATAGTGGTTCTTCTCTTGCTCGTCACCGAATGTGAGAATGGGGCCTGATGGCGCAGCAGGAGCAATGCCTGGTTCCAAGCCATTGACAACAGCGGCACGTGCCAGCAGTAGATCATCGTCGTCCTTTTCTTCCCCAAATTGGGCATAGCTGGTGGCCAACTCGTGGCTGCTGCTGGCCTCACCCGGATGCGATTGTTTCAGACTGTACGATGTTATGGGATTGCTCGAAGCGATCGGTTTCCAGGCTTGGCAAATGCGCGCATTGAGCAGCGTGATGAGGATGAGAAATGCTTGCCAAGAAGCTCGATTATGTAGCAGCCCAGTGCCAATTGCCATTTTGATCTTTGGATTAAAGACTTAAAGCGTTTCTACGTCCGTCTGCGGCGCTGTCTCGCACTTTACTAGTCCGTCTACGCATGCGCCAAAGTGCCAAAGCCCAAAATGAACATAAATTCAAAACAAAATAAAAACCGCAACAAAACAACAACGATCCCCTGGCAATCCAACGTCTCGTCTCGTCCCGTCTCAGTTGTAATAAATTGTTAAATTGTATTGAAATTGAAATTGAAACTGGTTGAGGTTTTGTAAAGCCGAGCTTTCTGTATGAATGCAGCGAACGAGCAGATCGCACAATGCCAAGCTTTACAAGCTGCCAACTATGTATGTATGTGTGTATTTATGTATGAACAGTTGCGATACAAATTATAGCTCAACTACGACTTTCTTACAAATGAGAAAACCAACTAGACATCGTTTATATATTTTCAATTTTCATTATTAAAAAACAAACACAAGCTCTCCCCTCTTTTTGTCTTAAATGTGTATTTTTCCACTTCTACAAATGAATTCATAAATTCCTTAAACTAACAAATTGAAAAACATTTTTTTCTGAGAGTGATACTATTATTTTGTCCGCAACTGTATGTATGTACTTCAAAGCTTAGCTTAGTTTGACGGATGCGAAGTTTCCTCCTCCCTTCTCCCAGTCGCTAAGCCTGTTAAATAATATGAACAATATGCTTATGTTGGAATAACTGTATCACTATAACTATTATCTGCATTTGATCAGTATATTTGAATATCGAAAGGTTGGTTCAATAATTGACTGCTTGATTATGTAGTTACATAAATCTGATATTTCTATACATTTATATATATATATATAGGTTCATAATACATCTTCAATTGATCGTCCAGAACGTATCGTGAAGCTATGGTATTTGTTGATCGACCCACGGATCCCAAAATGATATTAAGTGAATTTCTTACGTGATATGTTATTAAAGAGTCAATAGGCATCTGTCACTGTCACTGCATCCTCCCTACTACGACATAAGTAAGCTTTTGTGTATTAAATGCAATACATAACATAACATAACATCCTCCTCTACTCTAACAAGAGTAAGCTTTTGTGTATAGAATGCAATACATAACGTGTGCGACAAGTGAAAGCTTTTATCGACTATCGATCAAGCAAAGAGAGCTGCTTGCTGCTGAACGAGCAGACAGACGGACGGACGGACTCGTCAATAATTGGCAAACCGTTTGATTAACTGGGTGTGTTTGTTGTTACCACACATGTGCATCGCATATATGCCTATATATGTACATATATATATATTTGTTGGCCCTGCCCTCTGGAATTCCCAGCCATATATGCAACGTATAACGGTGTATCACAATTAACCTAATCATAAACAGTTGTTCACTTGGAATTAAAGTGAAACTTATTAACATTTCGGTACGCGAACGAAGGCCGATTCCGATTTGCTGAGTAAAAATGTCAAGGTTGGAAATCTCAAAAAATAATGTATTTACTTCACATCAGCACACTGTTTGCAAAATATTTCAAATCAGATCAATAATTGCCCATACCCAATAGGTATTAGACACGACTAAATTTAAAATTGTCCATCCAGTTTCCAAAAATCACATTCTATTTATAGTATATATGTACTATATATATATATATACATATATATATATATGTAGATCTTTAAGAATCATTGGATGACAATTGTCCATTCATATTCAAAATATCACATTTCATTGTATATAGTTTTCATAGATTAGATATGTATCTTTATATATAATTTTCAAGCAAATAAAATGTTTGCCGCCCATTTTTATATCTTATCTTAAAACAAATTTTCAATATTTCTTTGTTTTTGTTGTTTTTTAAGGAGCTTGAGAAGTTGATTACATGAAAAAAAAACCTCTTAAAACAATTGTGAACTTTTCAGCTTGCTATGGTTTGGACACAGTCTTTGATTATAAATGTATACACATATATATATATATATATATATATATGTATGGATATATATATTAGCATAAATTTACAATTAATAACAATTATATATTTGATGTATTCATTATTTGTATTTTAGATCGGTAAACAGCCAGCGCCGTATTATGTGGGTTCATCGCAAACGTTGCCTCGTGGCATGTATGCCTCAGATCGTAATAAGGTCTCCATGGGTGCGTAATAAAGCCAAACTATATAAATATGTCCATTTATAATTTAGGTGCATACATTAATATGTAAACATAAATTTGTCATTTAAGTAGATTTAGCTTAAAGGCATATACAACTTGGATGAGTCGTATTTTGCTTATTCAATCACTATGTCATCTCAGTACCACGAAAGACTCCATCATTAAATATTTGTAAATAGGCATGTCCGTTTTGCGTGTTAGCCACACACACAGTTAATACTTCACACACTTAATACTTCTACAAGTGTTGTTAAACAAAAGCCGCGTTTTTTCCAAAATCAATCAAATAAGCTATTCAATCTTTTAATAAATAATAATGAGATCAGATTTTCAATAATGTGTCTGAAAGGGTACTGTGTCTTCGGTCCCTCGAAGATTAATTGTTATTGCGTTTTTCTTTTTTGATTTAATCTTCAATTCAGGCCACATAATTAGACAATTTGATTTGTTGTTGGCTTACAATAAGTGTTTCCACGTCAAAAATATTGGGTATAATAAAAAATGGTTGTTTGTTTTTATTTTTTATTTGTTGTTTTGTATTCTATCACTATAAATATGTATGAATAAGAGAATACATACATATTTATACGATTGTTGAAAATGTTTAATTAAAAAAAAAAAAAAAACCCATGCATAAATAGTATATTATGTATAATTAAATAAAATATAAAAGGAACGCCTGTGAAACCATTCAGATCGATTAATCGAAGGGGTAGTATGGAACCCCTGTTTCCATATTCCTCGGATCAATTATACAGTATACCAGGTACACGAATATATACCTCTTCTTTACTTATGATTACTTATTTCCATGTTCATCCATATATATATATATAATATAAGTTTATGTATAACACATTGGTTGCGCTTATTTATGGGTTCAAAAATTGAGCGTGACGAATTAGTAAGATTTTGTGTATCGTGCTAATTGTTCTTATATATATATATTCTTCTTTACATATATATTCAGTTACTTTCACGTATGTATAACCGTTTTTTTTTTGTTGTTGTTTATTTACCTTAAATACCACAAAAATTGAGCTTTCCAAGAATATAAAATAAAATTAAACAATAGGCCGCTTTTAACTGACTTGAACTTACAGACGGATACACCAGCTCCCCAGAGCGGAGTACACGTGGCAACTATGAGGAGCCCTACTACAGCCAGTATGGAACACGCGGCACTGTCGTCGCACCCATCATTGACGAGGAACAAAGGTAACAAACAGAAAACAATGCGATAAACCTGAAAATTTAAAAATTAATTCTCTGTCTCTCTCTCTCTCTCTCTCTCTCTTTCCATTTATCGCTTTCGCACTCTTTTCTGTGCGGAACAGCGATGTGGCTCTTGCGGAAGACCAGTACTCATTGTATGGGATTAAAGTTGGCCCAAATCGTCTACCGCATCGAGGCAATCAGATCTACGACCCAACCAGGTAAGCATGATCCCTCCTCTGGCCACGTATGGACCTCATATATGTTACATAGTCATCGGGCAAGATGATGCTGCGTTTACTACGTCTGTAAATTTTAATACGCTTTACACTGCCATTTGTTGATGTTGTTGTCGCTGTGGCCACCGGATGGAAATAGGTTGTGCCTTTGCTCTTAATTGCCTGTACGATGAGGCAAAGAAGATAGCCACCAAAAGAGAGAAAGGCCAATGCAGTAATGCTTATTTGAAACAGGGTCTGCAGTTTAGATGGTTTCTCCTCGACCCAATGACCAGCATGATCACTTTGCCAGAACTGCGAAGGACCGCTAATGCTCGATGAAGATCCACGATCACTCCTGCAATAACAAAAAATCTCTTATATAATTAAGGGAAATTCGAATTGAATTAAACACATACCTATCGGCTGCCATCAAGGCCATACGTTCGGGTGTATTCGTTGTGTCGTAATCATCGATAACGTTCTCGTTCTGGCTATCCGTGTAATTCATCATTTCCAATGACTTCCTCAATACGAGCAGATCGTGCAATTGAAAATTTGATAAACAGTTGGCAAACCGTTGTGGTGTGCTGGTCACTGTGAGAAAACCCGTTCAGCTTATTAGAGTAATCGCCACAAATAACAAGGGTGTGAGGATGGTGGAAGGGGGAAGGGGGAAGGGGGTATCTACCACTGCAATAGGCCATGTTTCTGCTAAGCAAGTAGTTCTTGTCTCTCAAATCGCATTCAACTGGCGACTGCAAATAAAGAATGGCCATGGATGGCATTGTGGTGCGAATTGTGGAGCAGCGTCTTGCAACGCTTGCCTGACTCAAGTATTTCTACTTTTACGACGCTTAGTTTTAGGCTTGGCTGCTCAATTAGAGCTCAGCGTAACCGGCAGCGGAAATGCAACTAAAAAACTAAAAAAAAAAACCTGTCACAGCAGCCACACACAGAAAAAAAAAACAAAATTACACTGAAATTTCGAAAATCATTAAAAAAAAATGAAAAGGTTTTGTTTCTTTTTGAAAAAGAAATTCTCTCTGATATTCTTGAAATTGGAGTGAAAGTAGGGACGGGTCTTGTAATCGAAAATCGTAAGTTTCATCAAATTAAGTAATATGTGTGTTATAAACTATCTAAAATTTCTAAAATTCAGGTGATTTTTTTTTTTTGCTGAGTGCACTTACAAACTATGTGCAAACAACAAGCGATTCGTATTTCTTATACACCAATTTTTTATTTTTTTTTATTTGAAGGCCTGAAGACTTGCATCGCATACGCGTTGAGCATATGGAGCGTCAGTTGGCCAACTTGACTGGGCTGGTCCAGAAAGCTTTGGTTAATCAGAATCCCCAAATCGCACCCATGGCTGTACCCACATTAGATTCCAACTATCTTGTTGTGCCATCATCACAAATGCAAGGTATGCCGATCAATTTGCTTTTTATACATTAATTCAGCCGGAACGAACTTGAATGAATAAGAAAGCAAGCGCGAGGCGAAGCTCGTTTCTCATGGTGCATTTATGTACAAGTTGATTTACCTTACTCTTTCAGTATAGTCTCATAACCATATACATGTGTACAGTTGCGAACAAAATAATGGCACCACTCTTACAGTAAATGTTTTTTACATTCGTAAGCTAAACGAACTTATGAAGAAGCCGAAGAATGCTCTTTTCAAAATCGTAGCGACAAAATCCATATTTTCAACTTATTTAAATTTAATTAAAATTAAAAAAATGTAATTGGATGAATCATTAAGAAAATTAACATAAAAAATTATAGCACAATTTTTCAAATGAGCACTTATAATTATGAAAATTAGAAATAAATAAACGATTTCTATACAGGATGCGTAAGTAAGTGCTATTATTTGGTTCGCTACTTTTCCCTTCAAATCAAAAAAAAAGTATATGTATATATACATAATATCGCTTAGTATTCCGGAATACTAAACCATATATAGAATCAACATTTGAAAAAATTGCATGCTAATGCTTACATTGTTAAACGAATTCTGATATTACGTCTATCTTATACTTTCTCATGTAGCTAACGGTTCCGCTGATGAGCTATACATTAGGGAAAAGGCACCCAAGTTGGGCAAGAACTCATGTCGTAAGTGTACCCCAACTTTTCCACGTACATCAGTGTCCCAGACATGTGCTGTTTTTCAGAGAAATCCGTGTCCTTTGAGAAATCTGTTTCATTTAGCGACGATATACAGGGAATACCCAAGTCTCATAATCCCCTACATGCCGGTAAATAACAAAAACAAAAAAAAACAAAAAAAAAAAGAAACTATTTATCACCAATTTTATGTTTCATACTTTCTTTTTGTCGGCTTTGATGCTTCATTTTTTCTGTTCAAACATTACAAATTAAATTATGAAATAATTATCAATTGTGTTGATGTGGACTCCTTGACTTTGTTTAATTGAAATCATTAAGAGACATGCATACATATATTTTAGTAGTAGATAGTTGTAGTAAATTTGATTGACATCCTTTGCGTAGAATCAAAGATTTCAGAACCAAAATCTTTGCCATTATATTAACACTCCTTCGTATTCAAACAAATATATTACTGCATCGGACCCAAAGCTGACACGAAACCAACCAAGCCGGCAATCAAGTCGTCTACCTTGCCACGTACATCGTCACAAGGTAAGAACGCTAAGAGAGATTCATTCCATAAACACAGGGGTCTTCCTTTTTTTTTTATTTAAACCAGTTGTCAAAATCACGCATGCATTAATCACAAGCCAATCACGAAAATTATGCTTTATCAAAAAGATAGTGTAAATGTTAAATGAATTTCTTGTACACACCCCAACTACCTACATCTACAAAATCAACCAATAGAGCGCGATCGCCTAAAGCCCCCTCCACCACCAAAACCAATTGTATTGGCCCAGACCTCCCATCCCAGTTACCGGGCGGACATCGCCCTCGCACCCGAGGTTTACAATCATTTGCGCGGTCTGCAAAAGAAAGCAAAGGATTTGCGCATGGAAGTTCGCACCTTGAGGCGGTTATCGCAGGCTCAATCTGTTGCCGTACGTGAGGATATAAAGAGCACTTTCATGCGCATACGGGCCACTCTGTTGGCCAGCAGTGGCAGTTTCTGGGGCCAGGGCGACCAGGACACCACGCGCATCTCAAGGGAGGAGGAGCTGTACAAGCAGGAGGTCATACGCCTCGAGAAGGATCTGAGTGACTTGGAGGCTTCGGTGGAGAACTTACGTGGTGAGGTGATCAACCGACGGACTCGCGTCAACATGACGGCTGTAGAGGACATGGCGCTAGTATTAAGTCGCGCAAGGTGTGTGTGTGACTATCTACACTCAGCAAAAAAGAAAATCACTCTGAATTTTAGAAAATCGCCATACTTTCAGCGCCAACAAATTTGAGAAAAAGTATGTCTAATTTGTGTAGTAATCAAGAACTCTGACATATATTTTTGGTTGCTTATATTATGAAATAAAAATTGGTATTTTAAGATATTACATATCCTAAAATATACTCGACCCAGGAGGCAGACAACTACTAAACTCTAATAATAAATTTCATTAGATGTTTCCTAATTTTAGAAAGAATTTCTTCGAAAAATCTGTGTTTTCTTAGTTGAAAATATTTATATAAAAAAAAGATCAGCACATATTTGGAATTGTCGGGTAAACCTTTCAAGCTTTAAGAAAAATTATATCTTATATTTATTTCTAAAAACTTTTATTTTTATTTTAGGGCGATTTTCTAAAATGCAGCACCATTTTTTTTTTCTGAGTGTATTCTTAAGATTTTCGACGAACTCATTTTATTACATCTCCAACTATATATATATATATATACTATAGCAAAACTGTTGCTGAACTGAAGCTGAAATTTCCATTACTGTCGAATGGCTTGCGTTGCATTTTGTCCAACGAGATGGAGAAAGTGGTGCGTGAAGAAAAGTTCCTAAAAGAAGAGCCCGACCGCTTGGAGTCGGCATTGCGGCGCTGCAAGAAGCTAACGGGCACCTTGGTGACACTTAAACGGTTTGTGGAAATAATCGTTTCGTTATTTATGAAATGCTGATTTTCTCACTTTCGCTCATTTAGCTTGGCAAGCGTGCAGGAACAGCGCTTGCCGCCTAATGAGCCATCAATAGCTGAGGAGTCTTTACGGTCTTCAGATATTTCGGTGCCCGACAAGGTGAGTCCATTAATTTATGTACATTCATGAGTCTCCTTAAAACGAATTCACTGAACTACTAGTTGATAACAAAACACCTAGGGCTGTATTGCCAATGCTATTTTTGCGCATAAAAACACCGTTCCACACCGTGTCATACATAAATAACTATATATACTAATAATTAAATATATTCTTTGTATTATTTCGATGACAAAAACTAGTTGCTTTTGACCGAAAGAAGTATTGCATTGGCTAAATTTAATTTTAAAAGATGAACCTTTTGCACACTAGTTACCTTGCTAAATATTGTTAAAACCCGCTGACCAAATATGTAATCAACTTACATTGAGTGTAGTATAACAGGAAATTTGCACTGTTTTCGAAATATAGATCATTTTCGAGTTATTACCTAATGCAAATAATATAACGTAAAACGACGAGTGCTTTTGCTAATCTATCGCTTTCGATCAGTTCAATTATGCGCAATGTCTGTCTGCTTTTGAGATAGTATTAAAATGATTTAACATTTGTCATCCAATTGCTGATTAATGATGATGGATTTGCTTAATTCGTGAGATCTAAGTCAAACTAAGTAAGTGATTACGTCTCTGATGGACTAACAAAAATAAATATTTACGAAAATAAAAACAATTTTACACATTAAGAATTCAAATACTGTAAGATTAAATAACAATTGATTTTAACTGAAATGATGCTCCACACTCGTTATATAAATCAGCAATTGAATAAATCTAGAATGTCTTGAAATATGGGATTATTCGTTCCCCAACTTGACATTACTACTTTACATCCATCTCATTTTGACTTCCCTCATCGCCCCATCAGTAGACACTGCAATATGTTAAAAATGTAAATGTCTTAAGATGTTGGAAAATAAATACAATTTAAAGTTATGATTTTAAACAATGCAGAAATAAGCTAACATCTTGAAATAATAAACCATAATTAGCTTATGTCTATAAATTAATGAACCATTATTATTTCAAGAGGTTAACTAATGTCTACATATGAAAAGAATGTTAAACTTATTTTAATCTCATTTCATCTTTAATAGCTCGCATCGACTATTAACAGTTAATCATCATGATCAAAGTTCGAACTATGCAAAGGGTTTAATTAGCAAGCTATTTAGTGCTATTTAATAAATCTAGTAAATCAATCTTATTTGTTAACAATTAATTTGGTTCGTATGCTTTGTTTTTAGTTTAAGCAGTTATTCTATAAACGAGCTGCAATTGGCTGTTATTTTGTAGTCTTTTGTTCATACTGCGTACACTTCTATATATTTTACTTGATTATATAGTTATTTCCAATCCTACGACAGTTTGTAAGTGGCGAATTCCCGCTTATCGCCGACCAAGAGAAGCTTCACCGATGTTTCTCCATCCTTAAAAGGCTAACTGCCTTTTGGGTAGGCGATCGTTATGACAAAAAAAAAACTCAGTTTAATTTTAATAAAGCGAAAACGTCTTACGTATTAAACACGCCATTCATATTCATACGATGACAATGACACCAATCAATCAATCAATCAATCAATCAAAGCTTAAAGTCTTATCAAATGAGGTTTACCTAGTGATTTCATTTTCTTCTTCTTGCCTTTTTTGGAACTAACAATGTTGATATCGTATACAACAACAACAACAACCACATAGTTTAACTGGCGATGGAGTTCTAACTTCAAAGAGGCAATTACTGAGTAATGACTGAAAATACAAATATAAAAAACCAAAAAAAAAAAAAAAACAATTTTACTAAAAACCATTTTTAAAAAAGATGAACTCATAAAACTATGTCAATCTTATTTTAGCTAAACATTGTTTGCTCCGCATTAAACATAACTAGTTTATATTTTTGTATACTACTTACTACTGCTATAAACTTCTAACTAATACTAAACTCAAAAACTAAACCCATATTAAAACTCATATAAAGCTACCTATAAGCCCAAAAAACCACACTTACCAACTGCAATTATCATTAGTTACATTTATAATATCAACAACTTATGTGTATACATATGAATGTGTGTGCGTAAAGTGCTTTCCAAAAGGGGTTTTTTCGGGCAAAACCGTACATGCAAACCTCCAGTGTACATGCAAACCTTTGATGGGTTACACTCTTTTTTAAATACATGTTCAGCACTGATCAATTATGAACAATAATTGTAAAACATAAATAACTCCATATAATATGTTAAAATGCTCCGGATCAAAGTACTTATATTTTTATAGATCGCCAATTTTGTATCAATATTAAATTTATTAAAAACTATGCTTGAACGTAGACAATAACAGGCAAGCAAAAATAAAGGTAAATAGAATTGACACAATTTATTATACATGTTTAAATGACTTAACTCAACTCAACTCCCACCTCTGTGGTAGAAAGATCGTTCTTTATCCCTGTACCTTTAAAACTTATTCCCAAGATGTCTTTATAAAAAAAAATAATAATAAATTAAAAATAAAAACAATATGTACTCCTCTAAACAACACCTCCACTTGTGTGCTCAAATATACATACTATTTTCAATCATTTTTTTTCATTGCTTCCGACTGTGGTCTGCCCATGCACCCCTCTATTTATCTTACTATTTCTATACCGTCTGGGTTGTATAATCATCATCAAAATAATGTAAAGAAACTAATACATATTTATGTACATACATACATACGTGGAAACTAAACCGATACAAAATCTTTTCAAGAGGCAACTTTAAAATTGTGGTTCAAATTCCCAACAACTTTTTGACTAAAGTAAATAATGGCATGTGGATAGATGTGTGCAAAGTCAAGAAATCTCTTATTGTCTCTGTCTCCATTATCAAAAAAAAAAAAAGTTCATAAATAAAATATAAGTGTGTATATTTGGATAAACGGCTGCACATGAAATAGATAAACAAATCTTAGGAAAAGTGTCCCTTTTTTTGAGAATATTGCACAAATAATCTTTACATTCAATTGTAAGGGGCAGCAAAGGGTGCTGCCAAAGCCACGTTGTTATCTCATTCTCAACTGTCACTACTAATGAAATTTTGAAATAATCGAATACTTTTTTATTTGAAAATTTGTGTTTGATTTTGTGTTCTTCTTTTGTGTGTCTTAAAATAGGGATTCGAAATAATGGAATAATTTGAACCGTAATGTTCGCAGTTCTTTCACAGTGGGAGAGACAACCTTTCTAATTCTTTCTACAAGCAAGACACAATTTGTACCTTCTTCAACTTCCTGTTATGTTATGTTGTCTGATTTGATTTTGTAAAAAGCTCTTTCGTAAAAAGTTTAATTTGTTATCAAATTCAGAATACATGTTGCATGTATGTGTGTGAGGCACCGTCGTCTGCCGTTTCTTTCTACATTCTAGTCCATTAGCCATTAAGTTGTGATTTATGTTATCCTTTTTGGTCATATATACATAAGTACATGCATAATCGTTTACAGAAACAATAACAATTTACATAACAATGGCATCAAATCAAATCGGTCAACAAATAGAATCTCACTTCCCCATAAAGACGGTTGTCGACTTTTTTGTTATCATTGGACTGTTTTTAATTTCGATTCGGTGGCCTTTAGGTATTTTGCTGCTTTTCTTTTTTTGTTCATGAAAAGAAATAAAAAGCAACACTGAAAAAATTGCTTTGCCAAATAATTTTTGATTAGATGAATAATGAAATATAATCATACAACTTTTGGAAAGAGTAAGCTTCGGTTTCTCGAAGATTTCAATATATGCAAACATATTTATAGAATGTTTATTTGCTCCAAAGAATTTTTGCTTAAACTATTCATAAACAGCAAAAAGCTAGAAAACCAAAAACCAAAAACCAAAAAAAAAAAAAAAAAAAACAAATAAGAATAATTTTACATTAATGTTGTAGTTGAAAAGCGTATATGTATATACAAATTAGTAAAAAACTTAAATGTATCCTTGTTTATATACACACAAACACACGCAAATCATTTCTTAAACGTGCCGAGTCGATATAATAATCCAATTAACCAAAATTGAACGATTAGAAGGCCAAGTGTTTAAAAATTAATGTATGCAAGCAATCAGTCACCTATGTTCTCACTCATCGATTGTTGTCTTTGAAGTTTTAACCATCTATTTACCCATCATAAATCATCTTCGTACATACAAATTCCATCTACGTCTTAATATGTATTAATTTTCCACTGAGACGCTATCTACCCGAAAGCAAATCTAATCTACAAACTTTAAGTCAATACATACATTGAGTCTATTTATGAATTATAATTGATAAACAATCGATCCTGTACTTAACCAAATATTTAATCGGTGAAGACTTCATTTGGAGCTATGCTTTGTTTTTTTTTTTATATATTCGTACATACATATTACATATTACATCATATCGCTTGCGTTTAACTTTAGTATTTCTGTTCAAACTCATATTCTTCAATATATTCACAAATCTTTACCACAAGTTCTTCATAACCGAATAAAAAAACAAATGTTCTCTTCGCTGAGCCCCATCATCCTCGCAACCAACAATTTTATTTGATTTGATTTTGTTTTTTACTTGTAAATCTATTAGATAGTTTCGCTATTGCTATCGCATATTTTCAATTTATTGTACATTCATTGTTGAGTCCATAATTCAGTGTAATAAGAATATTGTTTTGCATGTAACTGGCAAAAGGACAGTTAATATCTCATTTTGAATCAAATGTATTCTTCGTGTGTCCGTCTGTTTGGCTGCGTGTCTATATGTCTGTCATTCTGTATAAGAAATAAGAAGTAAGAGATTGTGAGAGCAACAAAAGCTAAGTTCTTTTTTAAAGGTTCAATTATAATTGCAATTAGATGATTTTTGCATGTACATTTTTTGTTCCCTAATTTTATTAATAATTAGATATTTAAGAAACTCTCCTGTGTTTTTCTATGTTTCTATTTACATACACACAATTGCTTAATATTTTAGCTACATATATATGGTAATAATGTGGAGGATACTTAAATTCTGGATAACTTTCTGGTAGTCTTCTTCAGTCAGTCTTCACTAAAGCATTTCTGATGTTTTTCTTTTTTTTTCTTTTATAGAGCACCTAATATACCTAATATACCTGAAATATAAACACGCTTAATTTTGTTGCATGTTGCGTTATAACAAACATTTGTACTTGCAGCAAATGTAAATGAGTGGTTTAATTTTTCCAAAAAGATTCCCAAGGCAATCTTGTCAGTGAAAAGAACAAATGATGTTAGATATGCAATATTGTCCTTATGCACAGCATGATTAATTTGAATGCAACCTGTATTCATTAACTTGATGGGTTTTTTCAAGTTGTCCAATGTATTTATTTTTTAAGAATACTGTATCACATACGTATATACTAACATACATACCATATGTATAAATGTGCAATGTTATTTAACTTTATATCATATTGATACATTTTACAATTGTTCAATTATATATATTTTTGTAGCCAATCCCAACACCCAGGATGGGGTCGTTCGCTATCAGCGGGGGACTCGCACCCGAAAACGCACTCGATGCTCTGCTAGACGAGCTGAAGACATTTTCAAAGCCTATTGCCCAGCAACAACAGCAGCAGCAACAACAACAACAACAACAACAACAGCAGCAGCAGCAGCCATTCGAGGTAAACGGACTAGTTGCACATACAGTTGCGAGCAAAATAATAGCACCACTAAGACATTTCTCCTTACGAGCGAATAAACAATTAGTTTTGCAGTTTTTTCAAATATTGATTTTTAATATATGTTTATTACTTACTTACTTTATTTATTTCAACTTTTCATAATTTTAAGTGCACATTTTGAAAAATAGTGCAATTATTATATTTAGTTAATTTTCTTGCTTTTCTTTATAAACATTGATTATTTAATGTTAACTTTAATTAAATTGAAATATGTTGAAAACGGTGAAGGAATTGTTGTTTCTCACTTTTTTGAATAGTCTTCCACATACATTTTTTAAACTTACATATTTAAAAAATACACATTTGAAAAGATTTCGTTTGAGAGTGGTGCTATTCCTTTGTTCGCAACTCTATGGAAGTACTCGTTAACAAATTTAGCATGCATATGCGTCGTATACATATAGATGCGTCCCGAAGATTCCACATCCGATGAGAGCGCACAGGCTGCTGTTCAGAGTACCGTCACCACGCAAATATCGCAGGCTCGTCTTTTCACCGAGGCCAACATCAATATGCAACAGGCGACCAACAACAGCATGGTCATGGCTGTGGCAACGGGTGGTGCACCGCACTCACGCGGAGGAGCGTTGACCCATCATCAGCAGCAGTCGCAACAGCAGTCGCAGCAGCAGCAGCAGCAACAGCAGCTGATGGTGCACACCAATGTGGGCAGTTTGCGTCGCCTTCATTCATTCCCCAGCGAGTCGGACAACGAGCAAGCGGCTCCAGGTCTCGCCAATGGTGGTGGCAACAGCATCAAACCACCAGTCCCCGAGCGTAACGCTGATTTGATAACAAAAGTGGGCCACAAACGTATACCGCCACCTCCGCCGCCGCGTACCAGCTCACGCAGTCCACTGGCCAGTCCGACCAGCCCAAATGTGCCACAGAGCATAGCTGCCGCAGCTGCTGCCAACATCGCGGACAATTTGATCAGCATTGAAACTTGTGCCATCAGTGGCGACACTACCTCGAGCGGCGACAACTCAAGTGGCAATGAGTCTGGCAACGATCACGCTCAGCGTCAAGTTGCACTCGAGATGCGTCACCAGGAGCTATTGAAGAAGCAAAAACTGCTACAGGAGCAGTACCAGCGTTTGCAGCAAATGAGCAAAATACCATCGGTAGACATATCCTGTCCCACCACACAGGACATTGCAACGCTCAAGCAGCTGGGCAGCGAAACGAACATCCAGCAGAAAATAGCCGCACTCAATTTGGCCGGTGAGTCGAGTGGTGCTGGAGCTGCTGCGGTGGCTGACACTGCTGCTGCTGCGGGCACGAATGGAGTGTTGTTGATCAGTGATGCTACGGGTGGTGTGGTCGGCGGCGTTGTTGGTGGTGGTGGTGGTGTTGGTGTTGGTGTTGTGGGGACGACTGCTGGTACGGGCGCTGCTGCTGTTGCAAACACACAGTTACAGACAACCACAATGACAATGACCACCAAGCAGGTGTACGAGACGGAAATCCTTTAACACAACTGGAAATTGGCGTGGAGCGAAACGAAAATTGATATTTAACTAAATGGTAGCGCCCGGGAAAACTGAAGCACTTCATCTCATTGCATCTCTCTCCATCTCTCTCTCTCTCTCTCTCTCTCTCTCTCTCTCTCTCTCTCTCTCTCTCTCTCTCTATCTGTCACTTGCACGAATTTCAGTTGTATCTTGTCACCCCTGCTAAACAACATCAACCCATAACACGCGAGGACTTTAAGTCTTCAACTCTTTAATATATCAATAATAATACTTAAAGAATAAGATTGGTAATATTTAAGAAACTAAGCCGTACTAATATTACGTGTTAAAACTATATGTCGTACATGCATATACATATTCGTCTATATGCTATTATGTATGTATGTACATATTGCCAAATGAGAATCAAATCGATAAACTTAAAAAAAAAAACGCATACAAATATGCACACTTTACCATAATATACAACGCAATATTATAAGCACACAAATGTATGTCCATAGGTGGTACCCTCCCTTAAATGTACTAAGCTGTACCGTCTTACCACTGTTCAAAAGATATTGATATTGAGCATTATAGCAGGCATGATTAGAATGTACTTAAACGCATGTAATGTCTATCTAATATCCAACATAACTACGAATAGTATAATATTTATGACATGGCCCAGTGAAATAGTTGACAAACTTTAGTTCATAGGAAGGGTAAAATAGGCAGGCTACAATGACATATTAAGGCATCACATAAGGTACATTTTACTATACAAATACACATTTTTACTTTCATCGATTTTTTTGTATTTTATTTATTAATTTAATTTTATTTTTTTTTTTGTATGGGACGTGAGACTGATAGTTCTATATATCTAGGATCATCAAAAAGTAAAAATTAAAAACAAAAAAAATAATAATCAATAAGTATTTCTTAGAAAAATAAACTAGCTAATTTTATTCTTGACGCGGTGTACTCTTTCCAAAAATTAGTTAATATATTAAATTGAAAGCTCCTTGGGTGTCATAAATAATCTTTATTTAATATCCTCAATGCATTTATGTTGATATTGGTATATGCACAAAAGCATGTTTTATAATCCGTTTAATTTTTGGGAAGAGTAATTTTCTTCGGAATACCGAAAATATATGTTGTTGCTCTTATACCGTACTTACACCCATTAAATGGGTACATTTATTCATTTTATACGAATGTGTATCATATTCGAGCCATGTCGGTCCGCCCATTTATGTGTTGTGCTGGAGAGCGGTGGAAGGCTCTTTAATTCAAGTTTAGCTTCACCTAGTTGAGCATTTGAAACCGTTATTTTAAATATGATGCTAATTACAAAAATAGGTGCACCAATTCTTTTTAATTTGTATATACTACTTTTATCCTTCAATCCTTTTTAGCCGAAATACGTTCAATATATTTAATTGCATAGTATTTCATAGTTGCCAATTTTTAAATGCATATATATATTTATATAAATATATATACATATTTATAGATTTGTACATGTTTTTTTTTTAGCAATTGAATATGCTTTTAATTTATTAAAAAGGGCATTGAGGCATGTACCATGAATTATACGTGCACTGACATATGTACATACATACTAACATACATATGTATATGAACAAATTAAAATTATACATTAAACGTATTCATCACGTACTATAAGGGTATTAAATGTATATATATATATATTTATATTTATAAATATATATATATATATATACAATTAAACATTTGCTGCACTTATACTAGTTTTTTATGTACATTTAAAATGCATTTCCCAGATTTTTCGACGCAATTTTACGTACTTATGCCTTTATATGTATTTAAGGACTAACTATCCCTCAATTGATGTAGTTCACTGGCCATGCCTGCCAATGATCAAATTCGTTGCGTATTTTGTATAAAGTGGTTATATGTATATTTTTCAATTCATAATTACAGTAAATAATAATATAACAGGCATAAGCTCGTCGATTTTGACGTATTAAGAAATTCCAAAATCTTTTCACTGTTAAAAAATAAAAAAAGGAAGCTGCAATTGATCTTGCAAGTCTCAAAATATATGAATGAATACATTTTGAGTATTGTCAGTTATTACTAAAGACAACACAACACAATATGAAAAGCCACTTGAATTTAAGTTCACAACCAACTTTAGCGATTTTAGAAAAGCTACGCTCAAATTAATTATTAACATTGATATACATATTTACAATAATGGAAGCACAATAATTTTTATTTGTTTTTCACATTTGGTCGCATATATGTATAGCATACATAAATAATGTCACGCAACGAATATAAAACCTAATTGAATTGATTACAGCGATAAGAGTACGGAACAACATATGTGAAAGTATTTAAATACTATAAAGCAGCAAAAATAATAATAACAATAATAAAACTTATTAAACACATTTAAAAATATATAGTTGTAATACAAACACTACAAAATTAATGGTATTGGATGTATGTATATGTATGTATACGTTAATGTTCTTATGAGGCACACTCATTTACACACACACACACAACTACATGGCATATAGTAGGTATTAAAATGGTTCAATGATTCAAACGGTATAACAAAAAAAAAAAAACAAACAAAAAAAAAACAAATGAAAATCATCAAACATAGATGTTTATATAAAAATTCGCAATTTTTTTTCTTAAACTATTATAATACATATTTAAATTGCAAGAAACCACAACAATAAATATCATACGCAACGTGGAAAGCAATATTTCCATTGATTCCCATAGTGTTTTAAAGGCGTACTTACAATAGAAAGTGAGGCCTGCGAAACCTTGCTAATTGACTAAGACTGCAAAATATAGGAATCTTTTTAACTGCTCTTTATATATATATATATATATAACACATATTGTACGAGTACATTCCACATACATAATGCACATAAAATGCATGTACATCAAATTTAAGTAATAATAGTTTATAGGAGCCATTTAAAATGTATGGTATGTATATAAAGAAGGCACATTGAAATTTATATCCGTTTGTATCTGTCATGGTCAAGTGTCAATCAGATATATGATATGTTCTCGCAAATTATCTCTATGATTCGCAGAGCCAATCGCACGGCAGCTTTGGCATTTTACTTGCTGGCCATGGCAGATAACCCGCTGTCTTGAATACCCAATAGTCGTACGAAACCTTTGTGATCAGTGCTAGTAACAGAATAATCTCAGCTGCAATCAAATAGTATATGTAGTCCGTCCAGTCCGGCGGTGATTGACATAGCTTGGCCTCCTGCAGCTCAATGACACTCTGCGGTAAATTACGGCATCGTATGTCCATATAGTCTGGTATATCCGTACTGCGCTCCTTGAGCCAGTTCTGCAGCGTTTTGGCCGAATTGCAGTCACATTGCAGTCTATTTTCAGCTAGATAAATTCGACGCCCAATGCCCGTATCCATTAGAGCGTTGTTCAAAAAATATTCGGGAATCTAAAAGAAATGAAATTTGACAATAACAATAATTTGACAGGTGTACAACCAAAAATGTATCGCTTAAATGGTATGCTCACCTTACTCAGAGAATTGTTGCGCATGTAGAGGCGTTGAAATTGCTCAATGAACTTAGTACCCTCGAATTCGTAAATTGAAGATATATGATTGTTATCAGCGATAAGTTTTACAATATTGTAATAAGTTGGATTTGTGTGGAAGTGATCGCCCAATGTACTTATTTTATTGTTGCTTATGTTCAGCGTGAACGTATTGTCCGGCAATTGAGATGGCAGCTCAACTAGGCCGAGGTTCGAACAATCAACGTTGCATACAGTCCTTGACTGATCGCCCTGTATTATCATAATGCTGTATATATTACATGAACAGTTGCCATAATTTGGTATGCTCGGACATTTAGTGCCGCATTTTCGAATGCTCTTCAGCTGTTTAACGGACACATAATCCGTGGAGTTGAACCACTTGTGAGTGGCGTTATACAAACAGAAAGAGTTCGCCGGGCTCACAAAGTAAATCGAGTCAATATAGATAATCTCGTTCAGCGGCTCACAGAGCATACGCATGTTGCCACTAAAATAATACAAATATATGAGATATATAAATGAATGTATATATATTGATGCAAACTCACGTTATGTCTAAGGCAATTTTGCTGTACTGGTTGCAGTTAGGTACCCGCGACAGCAGATTTTTTGACATGTTAAAAAACTCCAGGTGCGGCACATCCTTGAACACACGTGGTCCGATCTCCGAGATGTTGTTATTCGATATGTTGAAACACTTGAGCGGCGAGTGACGGGGAAATAAGTTTGTTAGCTGCGTAATGTTACCATCCGTGACAGCGAGAGACTGCAGTGATCGATATATTGGATTGGAGAGATCCATGGCATGGACGGTGAGGTTGCGCACATGCAGGTTTGTCCACTTGGCCGTGTTGTTGCAGCTTGAAATCATTGAAATGTGCGTGATGTTGCAGCAGTACCAGGAGTTCACACGCGTCGGATGCTCCCGGCACTGGCAGCTGTTTGAGTCGCGCTCTCGTGCTATCTGCAACAATTGGCTGCCATTTCGAGCGCTATTCGCCGTCACATTGTCGGCAGGGTTACTTGCAGCTGCCACATGGGCTTGGGCATCCTCGGCCTCTACGTGGACACCAGAATTTGACGACAATTCCGTGCGATCCAATACACTCAGTTCGTCGCTGGTGGCGTTGTACTGGCGCCAGTTCAAGCACAGCTCCTCCTCCGCATAGAAACAGTTTTTCAGATAGTCGGGCATGGTCTCGGAAGAATCAGTCGATGACGGCGCGGCAGATGTTGTACTGGACACCGGCGTTATAGCCGGAACAGATGGTTCCGCTCTTTCTCCGTCGCTGCGTCTCTCAACGCTCTGGTGGAGCTTTGCATCTGGTGCCGATGGCGTGGAGCTGACAATGGCCACCTCCATCGCCTGTGTGGCCAACAAAGAGGTCGCCTCCGACGATGTGGCTGGCAAGGCCAGGGTCGGGTTTGTGGGTGGCTGCTCTGCTCGCGCGCATGCGTGAGCCAGAAGTAGCAATAAAAACAACTGCAAAGGCATAAGAAAAATATTTAGCTTCTCGTTCTGATAGCAACAAGAAAAAACACCAAGTTGTACAAGTTAAAAAAAATCGTCCTAAATTTTAGAAAATTGGCATACTTTTGGCGCCAATGGTTGGTGTCACCATATAATTCAGAGAGTAAATTTCTATCTATTTTTCTAAAAATTAAGATTTGCATTTAATATATTTAGAATTATTTCTAAAAACAAAAAATTTAATTTTAAGGTACTTTTTTCTGAGTGTAAGCACGCAATATTTACACTCTGCGGATGCGCTCAGCATGTTCTGTTTACACAATTAATAACCGCGCCTGTAATTCGATAAGGGCAAGGCTTCGCCTGCGGTTGCGGTAATTAAGCTAAGTGTTGGTTAGTGCCGTTCCTTAACGGCCAATAAAAGCCCAAGTAACTAGCCAGCCACCCAACGAAGCGGTCATATTTACAGATGGTAATTAAATATGTATGACACATACATCAACAAGTCAATCGATGTTGAATACATATATAATCTATTAAGGAGTAACATAGTACTTTGTATATTATTCAATTTAGCATTCTATTTATTTTATTTTTTATAGTCTTATATGTACATATGTTATAATGAACATATTTGCTATAAAAACTCGAAGTGAACTATTCTTCCATGTTAATTATTTATTTTTATGGCTAAGCAGTGAGAGATTTGATAATACGATTATTATTGTTTAGCAGATAATCACAGCAATCATTCGCTTAATGTCGTTTTACGCACATTCATCTCTGCTTGTATAGTTTTATGGGTATATTTTGTCGAACATTGGCACACATTTGCATATACATATATAGCATTTCTACACGATCGGCACATCGAACATATACAAGCACATTTGTATATGTACACACTACATATGTGTATATTTATAGCAGTGCAATAAAATTATTTAAAAACATTTAATATGCACGTCGAATTAAACACACGTACATACAAATTTTTGTATATATATGTGTGTATGTGCGTATGCGCATCTGACTTACATCTGTGCAGCCAATCATTGCATCTGATGGAACGCGGGTGCAACAAGTGCGACTTGGTAAATCAACGATTGTAATTTTAAAGACACAAGGCGATCACATTTTGTAAAAGTTCGAATATTTAAACTGACTGCGCATGCAAATAATACGGCACAAAAGAATAAACTTCAATCATTATAAATTATATTGTAGATAACAAAGAGCTGATATTAGTATACTGTGGTAAATAATTTAACAAAAAAAATTCTATAAAAACAAGAAATATCAAATGTTATCGACAAGAACGCGCACGCAACAGTGTTTCTAAGGCGCTGCCAGCTTGTAGCAAAGGTCTGTTTTCAGACCAACAAAAGGTTATCGATAATTTAAAATCGATATAAAAAACGCTGTAAAACCGATAGAAAAATTGTTCACAGCGGAATTTTGACTGTCGGTTTTGAGACAGCAAACTGAAATCCACACTGTTAACTCACTGCTAATCTGTGTTGATTTTGAAACAGCTGTTCGAGTTTTGCCCGCTTCTCTCACCCACTTCATCAACCTTTTCAAATGAGTTGCGTGCGACAAGTGCAACACTTTAATTTATTTATTTAGTATTAATATAAATATAATTATTAATATAAAATAATTTATTAATACAATTATTCTGTATGTCGCATGCTCTAGTGCATATCTCAATTAAAAAAAAAAAGAATAAGTCCGTCCGATAAAAGGCCAAAGTTATAACACTGCACACATCAGACATTGTATATCGATATGATCATTTAAAGTTGCGCAAGTGTGTCGTCAAAAAAACAGTAGAACCGTTAACAGCCATAACCGCAATTCGAATTCAAATGATGTTGTTCTGGAGTTGGTTTTTTTTCACATTTAAAATATCAAATGCAGATGGTTTTTTTTTACATATATATATATATATATAAATTTAATTTTTAAGACTTATTGTTCAAAATGTTGTAAATATACTTTTTGCGTTCAATTCAAATAATTTAACGTTTAACAGCTTAGTTTACTAAAGTAATCAATAAATTCGTATGTCTACATTACGTTGGAAGCTTTCTTTTTTTTGCACTGCGTATATATGTTTGGGATTAAAAGCTTTGGCATGTTGAATATGAGTAGCATTTTTAAATTTCAAAGCTACTGCTACAAAAAAAAAATATATATATATTCTACTCAACAGTTTAGATATTTAGTTTTGCTTATTATCCCCCATCATCTGAGAGTAGTTGGAAACATAATTGACCATCTGAGCATTAGGTTCAAATTGCATTCGGGATGGATTTGGGCCGTATCCATAACTCAAGTCGATTGGTTCCAAAGCATCCGGGAAATTCGGCCCTGGCATCGGTGCTGAGACGAATGCAGCTGGTTGTCGGGATGGTGGTGGTGGCGATGGTATTGGTGGTGATGGTGCATCATCATGCGGACCCAGCGACAAACAAATGTCGCCCACCTGCAGCAGCTGGCAATTGAGCTGAAAGAGCTGGTGCGATAACTGTGGATTGCAAGAGGCCCAACCCTGGCCATACACAAATATCGGATGCCACGACTGCACGGTTAGATGAATCTAAATCCCCAATCTCATCAATTAATCATGTTTCTCAATCCGGAATCAGCTCAAGCCAGCACCTACCTTGGCATAATTGTTGTCATAGCTAAAGGTTATAGCAGCGACTTGGGGACATTGGCCATTCACATCAATTTTCACAACGGTCGCCTCCTTAACGTACTGCTGGCTGCGCATCGCGGACTGAATGAAGTCTTCGGTGCGTATATCCTCGACACGTCGGAGATAGCCATTGGATAGCTCAATGTGGGTGCCCCTCTTAAAGCAGGCGCTCGCCTCAATTGTCACATTGCTGAGATCAATAAAAGTGCCTGTTTCATTCAACATGTTGCCGCTTGTAATTGGTTGCGACAGTGGCTCAAGAATGTTTTGTGCAGCAATTGCTTGCACTGGATGCTTGATGCGTACACACGACTTGTTCACTGGAGTTGCACTTGAATAGTGTCCCGAATCGAAACTTGCACTGCTTGTTGCATTGATTCAATTGCGTGGTGCGTGTTCTCGGAATTTCCAGGGATACTCGGCGCAGCCAGCGCACACGTTTTTTTTTCAGCTGTTTACCTGTTGTTTTATGACCCATTCCGCCCACTAATACAACTGTCACTGCCAGTGGCACTACGCCCACTCCCACACCCCGCCTCACAGGCCACTCGAATCGTGTTCATAGCAACAGGTAAGCGCGAGTGCTTTTCACAATGCCAGCCCGAAGCAATTACCTGAATCCGTCTTTCGTCGTCAACCGTTGCCAAGGGATGCGCTCGCCTGGCCGACCCGACGACAGCTGTCCCGGCGCCGCGACATGGAAATAACCATACGTATTTGTATGGGGATGAGCAGGTTGCGTTTGGTATTGCATCTTATGCGCCAGGCGCCCTGGCCACCACCAAAATACGCATGTTCAGCGTAAGATGTGTGTTGTTGTTGTTCTTCTACATACATATAAGAAAAGTATATTTATAAATATAGTAGGACTATAAGTTGGCTTTACACAAAATAATTCAATTTTGATAAATGAAAAAATATATATATTTTGATAAATAATGTGAACAATAAGCTGGCTTTGTGTAAATAAATATTTTTGGTAAATTAAAAAAAGAAAAGAAAAACGCCTCCTTTAACAAATGTTTCACTTTCATTCAAAATAACATTTTTTTATTTTCTGATTTTAAGTTAGAATTGCTCAACGATCAGCATATATACTTGATGGATTCCTAAGATGTGGTGAAAAAATTATAATACTTTCCCCTCCGGGATATCATCCATGACCAGTAGCAACTGCATTTAACAGGAAACAAATTTATTTAATTTTACGTTTCCTTTTAGATTTGATTTGCGTGTTGCGTCGCTTCCGACAGCCGCGCCACGTGAAGTCCAATGCGTAGATATAGTATCGTAGATAGAAATATATCACCCCAAGAGCGGCATACACAGAGGTGAGTAAATGTGGCATGAAGGGCAATCTCAAGTGCAAGCCCAGCGGGCGACTGATTATGTGTTCATACACTGGTATTGCAATGAAACCGACAATATACATCCACTCAAACAGGTGAAAGGTGAGCTTGTTGTCATATAATTGCCGCAATTGGCCATACATCATGGCCATGTAGGACATATAGAGAGAATAGCGTAGCACCAGCAGATCCACATCGAAGAGCAGCGGGAACAGCGAGAAATAGCCAGCAACGGACAGTATGAATACAAATTTTGCATCCCGACAATCCACAACAGCAAGCAGACTATTGACAAAATCCATTAAACACTTATAGCAGGTAATTCAGAGATCTATTGCAGAACACACTCACCTCAGCGGTATCAGGCACATCAGTATCGCCTTCTCATGGACATGCCAGCCAAAAATGAAGGAGCTGCAGGCACACAGAACCACAGCACGCATAAACACCAATTTCGCATGCCTGCCAAATACATAAAATAAAAAATAAAAATTCACAAATGAAGTTTTTAAATACAATTGTAATTTCTCGATAACTGCCTACGACTCTCATAAATCGATACAAATCGATCTGCGATAGCAATAAAAGACACAAATGCTGTTAAAAATTTCATTAGGATCTGATAAGATAAGCAAATTGAACTGACCAATAATTTTAGGGTAAATGAAAACCTGTTGTTAAGAAAATTAATAATAAAAAGTACAAATTATTTTTTAGCTCAGAGGGAAGTAATTCAACTTGCTGTTTGAATTTTAAAAACTTTGTTAAGTCTTTGTATAAATATTAAGTCTAAAAATACTATTCCTTAATAATAATATACGTAATAAGCTACTATAAGAATTCTTCATTTTCTAAAATTAAGAAAAATCGATCCTGAAATTCGAAAGTGCAAAACCCTGGTTTTCAGAAATCGACAACTATACATTTTTTAGAAATTTACTTTCTGAATAATATGGTGACTAACTATTGGCGCCAAATGTATGGAAATTTACTAAAATATAGTGCAATTTTTTTTGTACAACCAAAACAATAATTGAGTGAGTGACTTACTCTTTGGATGACGTGAAGAGCTTCAGCAGAATGGGGAGCATGAATAGCACAGTGAGGGCAAAGGTAATGGACGGTGTTATGGTGGGCAGCACGAGATGTTGCACTTCCTGGACGAGTCCTGAGCTGGTCGAGCTGTTACCAGCAGTTGGCTGGCGTCCCAAGACGCTGGCTGCCACTTTATCGGCGGTGTTATAGAGGGCCCAGATATTGGGTGCCCAATAGGCGTGGGTGAGGCCACGCTTGAAAGGAAAGAGGCGCGACATCAGCTGTGGCAACTGCTGCCAGAAGGGGCCCAAGGAGAGAGCGAACGGTGTCAGACCAACGGCCAGCAGCTTGAGCATCGATTGTACAAAATTCTGCTTTTCGAGGCAATAGAACTTCAACAGATAAACGGCAAAGGCGGGCGCCATATAAAGGAATATATGTTTGAAGTTCAGCAGCACGGCAAAGGCAAAAGCGCTCCACAGATAACGTTGTCGCATCAATGCCGCAATGCTCAGCAGGAGCAGGCCAAACAGGAAGCCATTATACTGAAAGTGTATGTGATCCACAAAAATCAGGCCCACATTCAACAGCAGAAACATGGAGCCGGCAATGTGCTTCTGCGTTGCATGGACGACACCCATGGCGGAGAGAGAGCAGCGCACGCCTAGCACATAGATAACATCCATGACAATCACCGAAATGCGCTGAAAATGCACCGTTCGCGTCGAGGCATAATTCAGATTTTGTACGATTAGCATTTGGGGATCAACATATTTGGCCCACTGCGACAGCAGCCATTCAAAGTAGGCAAAGAACGGCGGATAATCAAGCGTCCATTCGCTCGTCTCATCCAAATACCAGTGATCCAACGGCAGACTGTGCGTTATGGCCAACCAGTTGCGATGCACCTCAAAGTCTGTCGAATAGCTGTAATGGCAATTTGCATTCAATGTTTGATTGATTGTGTGTGATTTGATGGTCTGTGTCTGTGTTTGTACTTACTAAGCGGGAATAAGCAGCACTTTGAGTGCTGAGCTTATGGTAACTAGTTGCCAAAAATAGCCGCTCATTCTTTTGCTGTTGGCCTTATCATTGGTAACTATTTATTTATATTTGTCCACAGCTCACACGCGCTCGTTGCTTCAAAAATATCGATAACAAACGAAAACGCCGGCTCATGGCGTGGTGAATTGATGATTGTACGTCGCCTGTTGAGGTACCTGTTAGGCAGCTGTTAAGTACCTGTTAAGTAGCTGTTAAGTTTGGTCTGCTGTGCAGTTTGGTCGCAGCCCTCTAACTCAACCATGCGCTGGCAGTGTGACCAGCGTTGTTTCGTTGTCTCTTCTTTCTCAGCGCAAGTTCACACTAAACCTACCGTTTTGTTTACTTCGTGTGCACGACGCACGTGTGCTTCTTTTTGGCATTTGAGTGATGGGCGACGTTAGCGAGGCATTATTTGTAAGCACATTGGACAATGAGCGGGCCTCGTGCTGTGTGCAGGACCTGCGCACGGGCACCGACCTGATGCGATACAAAGGCGGCGGCACAATGCAGCCGCACAGCCTGCAAATGCTCGAGAACCATTTTATGATTGCAGCAAATAGCACAAAACCGTTGTTGCACGTATGGCCCATCAATGGACAGGAGCAGATGGCCAACATCCGATATGTGGTGGCCGGCAGAGTGAGCGCATTGGCAGTAACACCAGACAGTGGCTTCCTCATTGCCGGCATACAGGAGACAATCTATGTGTGGCATTTGAGCACTGGCCGACTTTTGAATACGCTCGCCAAGCATTATCAGCCTGTCACCTGCATCCGGTTCACCGACAATGGCGAACACTTTGCCACCGCCGGCAAAGATGGTGCCGTCCTCATCTGGAATCTGACTCGCACCACAGCTCCACTGGGTTGCAGCGACAGCGAGGAGAACGCTCCGTTGTACAGCTTCAATGATCACGGCCTGGCTGTCACCGATGTCCATATTGGAGTGGGCGGCATTCGAGCCTTCATGTACACCGTCTCCTTGGATCGCTGCTGTAAGGTGTACGATCTCAGCGATGGCACATTGCTCCTCAATGTCGTCTTTCCCGTTGCCCTGCACAGCGTCGTTGTGGACAGGCTGGAGACAAGCGTCTACGTTGGCACCGATGACGGTCAGGTGCTCATCTTTCGCATGGACAAAGTGCCGCGCATGAGGGTATGCCAAGAAGTTACCACACACAAATGGAGGACATATATATATCTCTGATCGTAACTGTTTGCATATTTACAGGAATACCATCTGGAGGAGGAGGAGAGTCAATCGTTCATTGGACACACCACTGGCTCAGCAATCACATGCCTGGCGTTGTCGATGAATGCCCAGCAGCTGATCTCGGGCGGCGAGGATAAGCGCGTGTGCATCTGGGATGTGAGCAGTCGTCAGCTGATCAAGAGCATAGCTCAGCCGGGGGCGATAACCAATTTGCAAGTGCGTCAGATGAACAGCGCCCGATTCCATGCGGGTCCCAAGCCAATGAAATTCTTTGCCGACAGTCTCAAGCGGATGATCAGTCCGGCGGAGGATGATGACTACGCCATTGAGCTGCTCATCACGGGCGAATATGCGAAAGCACCCAAATTTTCCCCACCAAACTTTGATAATTGCTACGACGGCACCGACGATGCGGATAGCGTCACCATCCCTGACCTAGACGAAGAGCCATCGGCTCAAATGGCAGTCGACGAATTTGAGAATTCCTCCTTCGACGATGATGATGATAAGGATGTGAAAATGTCCGATACCAGCGAGCTGGAGAAACTACGTGCTGAAAATGCGAGACTTAAATTGGAAGTGAAGCGTTTGACCAATAAAGTCGCTCCAACTCCAAATCCAACAGCAAATCTAAAATCAGCAAAGAGGAGCAAAAAACGACGCAAAAACTAGTTCTTAAGATACTTTTTTTTTGTTTTTATGTTTAACAATTATATATATTATAAATGTCTGCTATATGCAATATAGCAAGAAAAAAAGAAAACAAAACATGTTTGGTTGACACTTGCTCCGGGTGGGTGCTTATTAGCCGTCTATCTGTCCCACCATATCGTCGTCGCCATCCTCGCTGTCATTATTTTGATGCTCCTCTGAAACATTGTCGTTTTGCTGGGTCAACTGACGGCGTATTTCGCGATTCGAGTCGAGGAGCTGGCGCAGCTGCGACAGGATGTCGTCCGTGCGCTGTTCCACAGCGTCCAAGGCACAGCTCAAAGCGTCCAAGCTCTGATTGACGTCTTCCATTTCTGCAAGCGGAGCAGGCCATTAAACAGACGGAATCAAAATCAGTGAGAATCAGGTTCAACATATAATTCACAATATATTCACTCATTCTATATACCTCGTAAATCGGCCTCCTCAACGTTTGTGCTGGAGCCATCGCCGGAGGAGGTCGGATCGTGGTTATTTCTTGGTGACATCGTTGTTATTGCTGCAAAAGCAAGGCGTCAGCTGACTTTATTTAATTGCACGCACCAACATGTGCGTAGGCACAACGTTGTTAACGGGGGTCAATTGTCTACCTCAGCAATTTAAAACAAAATAATTAAACAGAAACTATTCCCGTTACAGTTATTCTGTAAAGTTTGGAAAACAAATTATAGTCGAGTTGATCACATGCTATGTGTTGACTACGCTCATGTTTTAGGGATGGTGCACATTTCGATACAGCTATCGACCACCAACTAATTCAAAATGTCATATCGACGAAAGCTGTCCGTTATTATTAAAAGCTTATAAATCAATTTCTAAGATGAATGCCTGTTATTTCAAGTGATCTAAATTGGCCGATATACATTGGTTGCTATATCACATTATTAATTTGCTATACAAACTGCACAATTAAAACCGATTCATCCTTTCGATATTCTCGATTGTTCGATCGATGCTGATGTTGCTCAGTTACAGCAACACAGCACTTCTCCCGACACCTTACAACACTAGAAATCAGCCGGCCTTAATAACAAAAGGAAAACATTCCGTGTTGTCGTGATTTCCTGGTGCTTATTGCATAAAGAATTTGTATTGACAATTTTAAACTGATACAAGTAAGTAAAAAAAAAAGGGGAACATGTGTGTGATAATAGAGAAGCTATTTATTAGCATTTGCAGTCATTTGTCACGACAACGCTGTACACAATAATCTTGCAATGCAAAGAACGCATTTGTTGATGCTTTCAAATTGAGACACTTTGACGTTTTTTTTTTCTGTGTGGGTTTATTTATTAAAGAATTTTAAATTACAAAAAAATTTGTATCACAATTAGTATTATTTTGTTTTCTGTCCATTTAATTTTTAAATAGTATAATTGTTTTGATGCTACGAGCCCAAGCTAGTTGTTGATTTTGTTTTTTGTTTTTTTTTTTCAATGTGTATGTTTACATTTCACATTTTTAGGTACGCGCTTCCATTTTGGGCCCAGCGCTAGCGTTCAGTGCGCACGATTTGGAAAGCCTGCAGAAAGAAAGAGAACGAGAGACAGAGAGAGAGAGAGATTATGATTAGCAATTGAACAAGTAGAATGCTAGCCTGCACTTAGCCCCTTCATGGTGTATCTATATAGTATGAGATGGCGTGCTACCTGTTGAACAGCTGTTAAGCAGCAGACGAACGACTTTTTAGGTACAGTTACTTGTGTTTATATATTTTGATAGTAGAAATTAAATGAAGTTACTGTTAAGACTGGTACCTCAAAATAGCTCATATTACACCATGCCATGCACTTGGCCATAGCGTATCAGAGCTCTTTATCTTCTTCTTCGTGCTCCCTTCTGCCCGTTGCATACATTTGAAAGGGTATTTTGGACTGTGGCACTTACGACGTCGACAATGGCGTCCTTGATAGCCATCCTGGCAACGGCACTCTTTGTTGCCCAGGCAGTGGCCATTGCTGCACTTGCAGGTGGATCGCTGCTTCCGTCCAATCTCGCAATGATCGCCGCGCAGTCCGTTTGGACAGCGGCACAAATTGTTACCAATGCAGCGGCCACCGTTTTTACAGGGAATTACGCATTTGGCTATATGAAACAAATAAACAAACAATCCAATCATCTTATAATTCAGAGTGTATGAGAGTGATTTTGACGCATACTCACAGTATTCACAGTGCAGGCCATAATATCCCTTGGAGCACTGGCATTTGTCCTTTTGTATGCATTTGCCGCCATTCAAGCACTTCTCCTTGCAAATACCTGATGGGAAGCAATCAGCAATAACGATTATTTAAACGAGTTTCGATTTCGATTATTAGCTATGTGAGCAACTCAATAATTGACGCATTTTAATTGCAGTTCCATTGGATAAAGCAAACGATAGACGGACAGAATGTATAGGAAGGCGTGTGCCTCCAGCGTGCAGCTGATGCACATCTCAATGCCCACAATTCGTTGCAACAGGACCACTAGCAGCAGCACCACCACCGCCACCCATAAAGAGCAATCAGCACCACCGCCACCATTGCGTCCACGTGCAAATGCTTTGACCGATGAGATCATACGTGTCGATCATGCTGGCGAATTGGGCGCCGATCGCATCTATGCGGGCCAGATGGCCATCTTGGGCAGTGGGCCGATGGGCAAGACAATTGAGCATATGTGGGAGCAAGAGAAATGTCATCGGGCGCAATTCGAGGAGCTGATACGGCGGCATCGGGTCCGACCCACCATAATGACGCCCATTTGGAATGTGGCTGCGTTTGCGCTGGGCGCCGGCACCGCCCTCCTTGGCGAGAAGGCGGCAATGGCGTGCACCGTTGCCGTGGAGACGGTCATCGTCGAGCACTACAACGATCAATTACGTCAGATTATGGAATCACCCAATCCGGATAAGGTCAATTACACACTCTTTTTATTTCAATTGCAATTATTGATTGATTTTCTTAATACTCTTTGCAGGAGCTGCTTGAGACAATTACAAAATTTCGTGACGAAGAACAGGAGCATCATGATACGGGCATTGATTGCGGCGCCGAGCAGGCGCCCTTCTACAAGGCTATCACCGAAGTGATCAAGTTTGGCTGCAAAACGGCCATAAACATATCGAAAAAGATCTAAATCGAAGCCACCAGGAAAAATGTCACCAAATTGTTAACGTGTTTTTTTTACAGCAAAAATCTGATTGTCAACCATTAAATATATAATAATAATATATAATATATATATGTACAGTTTCGAAAAAAATAATAGCACCACTGATTCTTTGTCCTTAAACTTTAAAAATTTAAACAAATTTGAGATGATGCCAATATTTTGTTCGCAACTATAGATGTATGTCTGTACTTACCGCCCTCGCACTGTGTGCCCTGATAGCCCTCCGGGCAGGTGCAGACCGATGGCGCCGTACAATTGCCACCGTTCAGACATTGCGGAAAACAGAAGGCCGTCTCACAGTACTGGCCAGTGTATCCCACTTTGCATTTGCAAATGTGTTGCTCATTGCAATAACCGTTTTTGCCACATTTCAAACTGCATTCTGGATCGGGAGCTTAAGTTTTTTTAGTTTAGTTCGATCGTTTGTATTTATGTATATATATATTTACATATACATATATATATATATATATATATCTGTATATATATATATATATGTATATATACGCATATGTTGGTGTGTGTAAAATTGTGTCTTCAATAAGCCAAGCTAAGGTTTTGCAAAAATACTTGACGCATTTACATAATTACTATGCGCAATGAGCGAAGCGAGTGAGTCCGTGAGAGAGTGAGAGAGATGATGGCGAGAGCGATAAAGCCGAAGACAAGTGAAAGACAGAGAAAGCAAAACTGTGCTCAAATGTCAATTATACGTAAAAGCAAAGAAGTGATGATGATAGGTGATATATATATATATATATATATATATAATAGTTATAGTAATAAAATGTTGTTACAATAGAAATCGCTCAAGACAATTTATAACTAGATAAGATCACAGTAGTCGTTCAAAAACAAAAACAAAAAAAAAATAGATTTTAGAGTTGATGCTTAGAATAGATTAAAAAATATATACAACGTTGCCGTCCTTCCAATGATCGATATCGGACAAAGCTAACACAGCAGCTTGGTCGATTTTTGTTTGTTAAAATACACAGAAAAAGATTCAGCAGGTTTATAATCTGCTTGGATGTTTTGGTTCCGATATGATAGTATCAGTTCCGTTAGAGAAGGCTTCTAGTCATCTATCTTTCAAGTTTAGTAACCTCAGCTGTTACATTCAAAATAAATGTTTCTTTCATACGTTATTTGAAATGTTTTGATTGATATAAAGTCCAATTTAAAGAAAATACATATTTCATATTCCAAATGAAAGTTTTCATCTTCGATCGACTACTGCAATTTCAAATATATAGAAAAATAACTAAGAAAAATTGTACTCAACAAATGTAGTGAAAAGTGTAAAATAAAAAATAGAAAATGATCCGTTTAGTTGATAAATGCTTAAGCGTTTTCTAGCGTATATATATACATATTCGTTTTAAGTTTGATATAAAGCATTTGATTGACTTTTCATATACACTACCTTGCAAAGTTGTTAGTGAAGTAGGGTTGGAAGCGTCTATATCATACACACCTCTATGTGCGCATTCCTTTTTGAAGTTGAGACGGATGGGTGTGCCCGGCAATGGTTTATTCTTGCGAGTCTGTATCTTTAGGCCCACATTGAAGGATGCGGTGCCCGAGCTGTTTCCGGTGCAGGGCAGGAATATGCTAAAATCTAGCTTAGATTGATATAAATATTGTGGCTACTGCACACATGCACATTCACATCACTTACTTTTCTGCTCCTGCGGTATGCGACCGCTCTTATTGATGGAGAGCGTCGGCGCCTTCAGAATGCTCTCGTCCATCGTTTGCAACCGATCGAAATCGTAGAAATACTTGCGTCTGCCCGACTTCCACGTGAAGTTCACATAGTTCACTTCCGACGGTATCACCAGATAGTTGTACACGGTCGTGTCGCGCATCTCGTTCGTCACCCGACCATTGTGAATGGCATAGATGCGATCCGAGTAGCCCTGCGGAAAGTACAGCGCTGCCCCGGGCAGGATTGCCCCAAATTGATTAGTTCAGATCATCAGAATGCTTCAATTTTATACTCAGAAAACAAATTGCTCTAAATTTTTAGTAAATCGCCCTAAAAACTATGAAGTTTTTCTTGTTTTTAGAAATAATTTCTAAATATTAGAAGAAAAAAATTGGCCTAAATCGACTCGCAAACCAAAATAACGAGAGAGAGCAAGTAATTTTGAGTCCTGGCTTACTAACCAAATAATGCAGCTACGGCAAGTTGCTCAAACGTTTCAGAAAGGATCTGTGCTATCGAACCGGTTCATAGTGGAAGTCAAAAGTGATCAAATTTCTCAATACATAAAAAAAACTTGCCATATTTTTGGGATTGTCGATTTTTTCTAAATCATTCTTAATTTTTGAAATATCTTTCCCAATATGTAGAAATAATTTACAAGAAAGAAAAAAACAAGAAAAAACTTTCTATTTCTTATGGCGATTTACAAAAATTTAGGGCGATTTTGTTTCTGAGTTTATTCATATTTCAAATTACTCACCGCTCAGCATTTTGAGCTGCTGCTCGTTGATCCACAGCGAGATGCCTGCTTCCTCCATGCGATTGTGTCGATTGTTGTGATTGTTGTGATTGTTGTTGTTGTGGCTGTTGCCCTGCTGTTTCTTGCGCGGATTACGTCGATGGCCATGTGACCCCGTCCCCGTCCCCGTCCCCGTTCCTGTCCCTGGCCCGGTCGCAATACCGTTGTTGTCGTTGTCCCCAAGATTATCAATGCCATCGTCGTAGCCGTTATTGTTGTTGTTGTGCGTCTCCTCCGAGCTGGCCGAATCTCCTCGTCTATTGTTGTTGTTATTGTTACTATTGTTGTTGTTGTTGTTGTTGTTGTTGCGATTGTGTTGCTGGCGACACTCAAGATGGCCAATGCACAAAAAGGTCTGCACAATCAGCACCAGATAGAACCATTTGACAAAGCAACCGCCAAATCTCTGCTGTGGCATAGTTCTAAAATCAAAACAAAACCAAACAAAACACACACAAATCAATATTTGACTTGAGAACTGCTCAAAATGCCAAACCATTAACTAATTAAGAAGCGTTAGAAGCCCCCATTTGAAATGAAAATCGGTTAAAACGATGCAGTCGACAGTGCTCGACTAGGAAATACCCTACTTCTTAAATTCAATGTGCATTTGTTTAAACTTGGAACAAAAATATGTATAATTTTGATTGTGTTGTTTTCTATATGTGTTAAATTAAATTAAATAATTTGTATATTCGTTTCTTTGTTACTTGTATTTAATCATGTTTAATTCTTGCACTTTTACTTTTTAGAAATTTTATTCTTAATAATAGAAAATATTTTGAAAAAATCGCCATCGATTTAGAAATTTTTTATACCTAAAATTTCAAAGTTATTTATAAAAACAAGAAAAATATAATATTTTTAAGGTCGGTTTTTAGATGTAGTGCGATATTTTTTCGAATACGAGAACTTATATTCAATCGACTGAACGTGTTTGATGCTGGTCAAGAATATATATATATATAGTTTTTGAGATCGGTGATGCTGCTTCCTGCCTGTTACATACTGTTTGCAAAAGTTCAAACATACGCGTTGTGTTTGTCTATTTGGGAGATGTCCTCTTGCAGAAAAGATCATCAGCATTGAATCAATGATATTTGATTGTTTGCATTTAGTATTTGTTGACTTTTCATTTAGTTGATGTGTGGCGCATTTGCAAATATTGTTTCAAGTATTCATTAAACATTTGCGCCTTAAACCTGATTTTCCATTTGTGTATTCTGCAAACTTGAGCTATCTGCTGTTTATATATCGTCCATATCTATGCATTAAGACAGCTGTGTTTCTCCAAAACAGACTGCAGATTGGATATAAAAAGTTTTAGTATAAAGATATATACAGATATGTATATATATATATATATAATTATAATCTACAAAATTGAAAATTTGCTGGCCCATTTCTGTCAGCAATCAGCGATCGAGGCAACTTAAATGAAGCAGCTAGAAAAGTGAATGGCCATTTCTAAGGGGCAGCATGGATTTTGTGCCACTTTTTGTTGCAGCTCTGTTACTGTTGCTGTGGCCAAATATCTATAAGAAAATCAAGTGGGAACCGACTGCCGAATACTCTGACACCAGGCTAATAATATAATAATGTAATGGCGGCAACGAAGGGGGCGTGTCTTTATCTCACAACAATCAGAACAATCAATTATATTTACATTGATGCATTTTTTTATTTTATTACCAATTATTACCAATCTACGGAGAATTCTAGAATTTGTATTCCAAATTTGTGTATCACTATCTGTAAAATTGTCTACTAATATAGGCTTAATCGATACCAATGTATACCAATTTTAGGAAATGGTTTGTGGCAGGGCGTTGCCAGTCATCTGCTCTCCACAATTTGTTGACTCTGGACACTTATCGATGCATTGAGTTGCACTTGTCGCAATGTTATCGATTTCGCAGAGTCCCCTATATGCTCTACTACCTTCGGCAACACTGTGTAAATAAAACAACTAAAAAAAATTACAACAGTTGGAGGGGACAACAACAAAAAAACACACACACACACACAATGCGAACGCGATCGTTAATGGAAACTGCAGTCGCAGCACTGATCAGAGTCTGAGAGTCTGTGTGTCTCTGAGTCACAGACGGACGGAGACGGAGATGGAGATGGAGACGGAGACGGAGAAACGAAGAGAGAGAGAGAGAGACAGAGAGCAGGTACAAAGTCGTTAGCACTTGGTCTGGTGTGAAGATTTACCCAAGTCAACGAGCGACAGACGACAGAGGACAGACGACAGAGGACAGACGACAGACGACATCCGACAGAGGACAGCAGACAGACGACGCAGCGACGCAGAAATTTAACATTATGAACACAACAAAACTAAATAAATAACCACAAGAAAAGACAACTAAAAACAGCAGACCGAAGATTGCATACACTTTATGTGGTCGTCAACAAGCAAAAGATCGCCCTGAAAAATATAAAGGTTTTCTAGTTCCTCGAAATAATTCCTAAATATTGGGAAAAAATATGAAAATTTTAGAAAGGCCAAGAAGCAACAATTTTCAAATTAAATTATATGAATTAATAAACTATTTAAAATGTATACATATATGAAGCGATTGTTTCTATTAGACACATTCAGATTCGATTTTAATCCTTATGGAAAACTATATATGTAATCAGTTTTGTGACAACGATTAGAATAATTCTCAAACTGCTCAATTCGACGACAAATTCTTGAATTCATGTAGGAATCAGGGTTGATGAAGGAGCTGTAGGCTCAGAAGGGCACAATAGATCAAACTAGGACAAATTGAATGAAACCGCAGAATAATAATAATAATAATAATTATAATAACAATAATAACAATATAAGCTTAAATATCTCCTAATGTAGTATGGAGTATGAGGGCACATTTTGATTCGAATGACATTCGGTTAAAATGTTTTAAGAACCTCTCTAAAATTAAAAAAAAAAAAAAAACATTTGCTGAAATCTACAAAATCTAATAAAATATTGAGAAACACGACTTCATTTGTTTGTACCAGTAAAGCTATGAATTAATTCCATTTTAAACATATACATAAAAATATATGAGCAAAATATAATTTTGTAAAATGATTTTTAAGGGGATGGTCGCATAATGCGTGACGAAAGTACGAAGGCCTTGTTGTGAAAGCGTATACAAAAGAAGCCAGCGAACAAGTGATCGGGACAGGCCAAAAGGCAGCCGGACACACAGAGACAGACAGACTTGGCCACTTGACTTGATGGCCATTCAACAGGAGCAGGAGAAGGGCTAGCCAGAGGAGGAGGAGAAGAAGAGGGTTTGTAAGCAGAAGTTGTAGAAAACAAGTTAAGGTGTCTTAATACGATCAAGCATGGCGATTATGTGGAAACACTTGTCGATAATGACATCTGGCCTTAAATCCCCCACAACATTCAAATAAGAAATGGCATCTGCCGGGGCTATTATTACAATAATTCTAATTGTTATTATTTAAACAAATGACAAATTGGAAATGTTAAGAACACACATACACTAATTAAATGTTAAATGTTGGAAATGTTGAAAAGTGCTGTAATAAAGTGGGTAACAACTACGACCCCATCAAGTATATATATTCTTGGTCAGCAAATAACAGCAGAGTCGATCTAATTTGGAATAGAAGTTCTTAAATGCCAAACGCAGATCAAGTTGGTTAAATTGCTCGATAACCTACACCGTTTCCCTAAAATCGATAATAATCGATATGCGATATCAATAAACATCACAATTTTTAGCCCATATCTTTGGTAACTATCGAAATTCTATCGAGACTCGACTTCTACCAAATATTTAAAAATGCTTCGGTTCAGTTTATTTTTAGCGAAGAATGAGTCCGGATTTCAAAGGCTCTAATTGCTCATAAAGATAAATATATATTTATATATGTATATAATTAATTGCTATTTATATATATATATAATAACATGTATATTTATAAGAAAAGAAATGAAAGAACGCAATAGAGGGCAGCATGCCAAGTGCTTGATTCTCAGTATTAAAAATAGCTGGAATCATTTGTTTTGACTTTTCCCATTTGGATTATGTTTTTCTGTTTTTGAATTTGTACTAATTAATGGCTCAATTGATAAGCGCATGATGTGATTAGTTTGTTCGTCGATAGTCGTCTAGTCGCTGCGCGTTAGTCTATAGTATTATTTAGTACATATGCAGCGAAATCATAAAACGAGACCCAATAACACCCAACAAGGCATGGGAGAGTCACATGCGTTGCTCCAATGACGTCATACACTAGCAAAAATAACTAGCTAACTAATTGTTTTGGTGTGATATCTTATCGAATTCTTAGTAGCATTATACAGCGAAAAAAAACCAGGGAAAGCTTAAAAGCCAAGTTGTCAAACCGAGACGAATAAAGGTTCCGATTCCGGTTCCGGTTCCGATTAAGATTATTAATTTTTGCACATTTTTGTACGGTATTCGATTCCGTATTGGTGCCTAACGGTACTGCTGCCGTACCGCACCGATACAAGATGAACAGCATCGCTTTTTGTAGCTTAGAAAGCAGTCTGTCAAACCGAAACGAATTTGGATTATGGAATTTTTCCAATTTTTCTACGGTATTCGATTTCATAGTGAACGATTCCGGTACAGGTTATGAATGGGTTCCAAATTTTTTCCTTTAACTGTTCCAAAAAAATTATATATGTATATAATAAATTTCGGTTGCCTAATAATAATAATCAGTAGCAGTTACTGATTTTTTAAAAGAAATGACGTTAACGGTTCCGGTTTGACATCGCGCTCGGAAAAACTTCTCTACTATTACCATTATTTATTTTTATTTGAAATCATTTGTTCCCAAAACAAATGTGTACTACTATTTTGAACGCTGCTGTATAAAATAGAACATAATTTGAGGCAAGAACACAATAAAAACACATGCATATCTGTGGCTGTATATACATATATATATATATATATATATATATATATGTTGTTAAACTGACAAAGACAAGCGGCTAAAAAGGATCGATTAACATTTTAACGTTAAGCCAGCAACAACAGCAACAACAAAAGCAGCAGCAACAATTTGTTAGCTCTTTACGATTATTGCCTTTCTCGCACCTTATTACCAAGAAAATAAAGAAGCAACAATCACAAATAAAAACGACAACAAAAAATTCAGTGAGAACAAGAAGCTGAAAACTAGCTGACGCTCAAGTTGAAGCTGGAGTTTTGGGTTCGGAAATCGCATACTCACATGCACACACACACACACACACACACATATACACACAGACACACACACACATGCATATATATAAGTAAATATATGTATATATATATATACTGGGCACTGGAAGGCGGACAGTGTTGGAAACGAGACAGCTAGCGAGACAGGGAGAGAGCTATGATGAAAGGGTAGGGAGGGGGAGGGGAGAGTTGGCGATCATAAACAATGCATACGCAATAAAAATGACAACAACAACAACAACAACGCTTAAAAATGCAGTGCTAGAAGAAGCAGAACAAATTGTTGCCAAAAGGATGTCGACATACGCTAAGCTGAATATACATGCACATATATATATATATATATATATATATATATATACGTGTGTGTGTGTGTGTGTGCAGGAACTCGAACAATGCCAAAAGGCTGGACCTGGCCATAAAAACGTGCCTCGGGCCCGCAAACAGCACTCGGACCCAATTCACTGGCTACCGATTAAAACGATGCTAACAATAACAGCAACAACAACAACAACCAACACTTGCAGCGGTGTTTGCTTAATGAACACACACCAGACAGGCAACAACAACAACAACAACAACAATGAGAGCAGCAAAACACGACATGAGCATAAAAAAAAATAAATAAAAAAATCATCTTCAGCAAATACGCGCAAACAGGCAGGAGAAAGAAAAACAAGTAATAATGCGATAGTCGAGTGATCTCGACTAACAAATACCCTTTCAAAGTTTTGCTCTCATTTCTTATGGCAACACATAACTACATAAATACACCCGTCAAAGATATGCCAATGTATATAGTCATATATATATAGTATATCAATAAGAAACAACTCATACAAAAAACAATATTGTAAATTTGAAGTCTTTAGCTGCTATAATCTTACAGACTCCAGTCAGACGGACATGTCTATATAGAGTCGGCTGTTGATCCTGATTGAGAATACATTTACCTTATAGGGTCTTGCCAGTTACATACCCAAGCCCAAAATCATCACACACTTTTATCCATTTTCAATGGGTTCAGGGTATAAAAAAAAAATCCAAGCCGGTAAAACAGAAGGCATACTCAACTTTTGAATTCCCTGAGCAAAACTAGAAAACTTAACTTACAAAATGACGATTTACTCAAAATGAGTGCGCAACGGTTTACGACAAAAAAAAAAACGAAAGATTTCAGAACTGTAAGAGGAACAGCAATCTTACCAGTAAAGATTCAGAACCGGAGCCGAAACATTTCTTTAAGAAATAGTTACAGGAAACCAGATTATAAGTTCGTAAAGTACTATAACGAGAACAAAAATAATGGGAACCTATTCAAACCTAGACCGGAATAAATGAATACATATCTTGGTGAATTATACAAGAACTGATCGTTCCTATGACAGCTATATGATATAGTTATCCGATACGGATATTCTCTCAGTTTCATTAAAACTGTAAAACTAACTGAGTTCACATAGTTGGGAGTGGTGTGATGGACAGATAAATAGACGAATCAACGATGCTCATGAAGAATATATATACATATATATTTTATGAAGTCGGGTTGCAACGACAAGCTTAACGACAAAATGAACATTGACTTCGCAAGAGTATAATAAAAAGATGCAGCACACACATACATACGTAGAGTATAACGACTGTCTCCAAGAGTGGGCTCAAGTACCGCTGCCGACGTCGCTGCCACCGTGCAGGTTGCTGTCAAGTAGCAAAGCGCGAGACAAGCCGGCTGGCCCAAGACGACAAAACGGACGGACGGACGGGCAGACAGACGCTGCTGGGTGTAGGGGCGGGCGGCGGCGGTAAGGGTCAGTTCAATCGAACAGACGTGCAGACGCGCAGCAGCAGCAGCAGAAGCAGCAGCAGTCGAAGCAGAAGTTACTTCAGAGAAACATAACTCTGATTTCTGATATTGCGATTGTATGGTGTGTGTGTGTGTGTGTCTGTGTGTGTATTGGTGTGTGTGCATGGGCATAGCCCATTGGAGGGGGCGTCCAAGACGTTCAAATCAAAATTTAAATATATATATATATATATTTACAAATATTTAGGAACAAATCAAATTGGAAATGCTTATGCAAGAATTTAATATTATCACAAAAAGTATTCCCAAAAATGATCAGTGGGAAATCACAGTGTTCCTCTACAAAGTGAGAGAATGCAAATGCAAAGTGGGCAGAGAAACATGCTCAATTGGAACCGTTACAATAAACGGATTAAATAGTTATATGCTGTTTGCCGTTATACGTTTTGCCTTTGTTCTTCTTTCATTCGCTGTGTTAATATTAATGTGCCTCCCCCTCCATTTCTCGGTCGCCGTTAGCTAAGATCCTGCCTACGCCCATGTGTGTATGTGTTTCGTTTCGAGATCGAGAGGAGTTTTGCACAGCATTATTTCCATTTTGTTTGTCGCTGTTGCTGGCCGACTCTGCTCGCACTCACAGGAAGCGCATTCAAGTGGCCGGCCGGCAAAGCAAGGTGTCAGCAGCAACAACAACAGCAACAACAGCACCGGTTTATTTGCCTCTTGGACAATGACTTTCACGCTTTTCAAACGCGCCAAAACGCAAACAACAACATTACACACATAACTAAATACACATAAACACATACATACATATTTATATATGTGTGTGTGTGTATGTGTGCACGTACAACAAGTACAGGCTGTCCATGAGACAATGGGGCACCAACAACAAAGGCTTACAGCTAGGACAGCATACACCGCGACAAATTCCATAGCAAAAAAAATCGTTAACCAAGAATTAATCTCTATATATTTTTTTTAATTACTTGCTAGGTAAAATATGCTCCAAAATTAATCACTCTTCTTTAAATTGAATTTCAAGTGCCTTACAGATTTTTACATACCAAATGGTTTTCGGAAAATCAAAAATAATCCTTCAGTTCTGTTTTTTCGAAAATTTGATTTTTCCATATAACATTTCGCAATTAAAAAAAAAAAAACAACCACAAAAAAATATTACAGCAAGACAGGACTCCAAATAGTTCCAATATTAAGATATAATATAATTACATTAATCCCTTAAATTGTATTTAGTTTCTAGCACTTTAAAGTCCATTTGAATTTTAAAAAAAATTGTATATGAAGTTTAAATTACGCAGAGCAGCTTTCACTTTAGTTTTTTCCATTTATTCGATCCACAAATATGGTTGCCCTATTAACACTTATTTTGTGCTGTGTACTCATCTATGTGTGTGTGTGTACTTAGTACTTATACTTGAGGATCACTTAGTTCAAGCTCAGCTGATTACTTAAGCTTAACCTGAAAGCTTAATATGCGCTCTTGTTCACACACACACACACACATACACACACAGACGAGCAATTTGCGCTCAGGGTCACACACTATTGCAGAAAAAAGGGTTCGAAATTCGAACTTCGAATCGCAGTATTACGTAATTGATCAAACTGATCAATCGCTTGCCTCGATCGATCTCGTTTTTGCTTCTTAGCCGGCTTCGTTGCTTTTGTCGTCACTTTCAGTTTTTTTTTTTGATTTTGTAAGGAGCATGCAACATTATCAACAACATCATCATCATCGTCTTCATCGTTCGTGCGATCGTCCGACAGGCAATCAAGTGAATGAGGCGCACAGAGTGCATATTAATTGAACGATCGGTGGGAAACGATTGAAATCGATTGATATTATTAAACCCTTGAAAGCGGGCAGTAAGTGTTGCAAATGGCTTGTTAATTCTGCTCTTGTTGTTGTTGTTATTGTTGCTGCTGTTGTTACTGCCGCTTTTGGCGCTACAAAATATTTGGTTCTGTTCACTATTCACAATATTTATTTCCGTGATTTTCTTTGGTTTTAATTTAATTGTACATGAACAAAACATAAACACAAAACTGAAACAGACTTATGAAAAAAAAGTAGCAAGCACACACTCATAGAATTTATATTAATATTATATATACGTTTAAATTTACATTGGCTTAAATCATTAATATAACAGCAACGAAAAATAAAGGCAAGATACTGCAAACTCGCTCACAGAGGACTCTACGAGTTATACCGTTCGAAACCGTTGACGAGTATTAACTTTTTGTTGATATATCGCCGTTGAGTGTGGCCGACTCAATAAAATAGACAAAAATGTCAAAGTAGCTGTGCCTGCACTTGTATATACCGAAATTATGTTATTTAGCAGACCGTTTTGAGTTTAACAGAAAGTTTAACTTTAAGTTTGACGTGCGCGTTAGTGTTAACGTAACGTAACTGTCAAATAACATAACATCATGGCGCAGTTTGAATTCAATTCCAACGGATTGTGATCCGTTTAATATGCAATACAACACGGCTGTCGATCTGATCACGAATTACTCCTTTTCATGTGCCCCTCTTACTCGAATGTCAAATGTAATCAAAGCGTCGCAGAAAGACGCTCACGTTACACCCACTGCAAAAAATAAACTGAACACCCACGGCAAAAATATAATTACGTTTTAATTGGTGGTAATGAGTCTGTTAAAGTCAGGGGTCACTCATGGGCTCTCTCTTTCCTGCCTCCAAAAGAACCACAAATATGGCAAGCACTTTTTGGTTGCTTACTTTTCCCTAATTCGTTTTGCACTGCTTGGCGCACCACACAAATATGTACAGTTAACTGCCTGCTTCCGTTTTCATTTCTTTGGTTCATAAAAGTGATTGTTGATTTTTTTTTAAAGGAAAAATACATTTATTTTGCAGCTATATATTTCTTACGAATAAATTTATAACATTTAGTTACAAATACATTTACAATTAAAAATTGCTCTACTTGGAAAAACGAAAGTACAATTACGTGACGAAATATGAACTAATCAGTTAAGTTAAAGTTAAACATACAATACATTTACACACATATAACTAAACAAAAAAAAAAAAAAACAGGAAAAAAATTGGAGATTATTTAAGATTAGCTTATTCATCAAGTTTTCTATGTTTTGTTGTTGTTGCTGCTGTAATATCTTTAAAGTTTAAGATTTTTTTCAAATTTTTTTTCGTTTTTGTTTTACAAATAGATTATAAATACAATTACATTTACATACATACATAAGTTGTTTGCTCGTTTGTTTTGTTTTGTTTGTTTGTTTTTTTTTTTTTTATAAAAAAAAGTGTGGATGTTCTCGAAATATACATCAAAAATCGATAACAGGCACATACAAAGCAATGACTAAATCAGATATCGGATACACAATGCTGCGCATATAAATGTGTACACTTATGCATATTTCTATTCATATATGTATAAATATATATATTTATATATTTATACATAGGTAGTTAGTTAGTTTGGTAGGTTTAAATTTTGATTCATTAGGTTTATATATATATATATATATATATATATATACATATATTATATATATATATTTATAATATAGTATATAGCAGTATGTATGTGTGTGTATTGGTACATGCAACTTTGCTAAAGTTTCTCGTTTATAACAATTTCCAGTACAAATAATCGTGTTTGTTTAGATTTTTTGGTAAGATACATGAAATACTGCTACATATATCCTAAAGACAGTCTTGTTTCTATGTGCGTATGTGTGTGTGTGTGTTTGTTTGTGTATATATATTTATATATATATATATATACATATATGTAGCTGATAGATAGCAGTTATAGAGCGCTCTCTGCTACATATACAGATATATATATATATATATATATTTGTAGTACATAGAAGAATCCAAATTTTGTACAATTTCAAGTTGTAAAGTATATATATATATATATAGTGTTGTTGGCTTGGACGTGGAAGCGCTTACGCGTGTGTATATATAATATATAGCATATAATATACATATACATTTAAAGTTGATAAATATGCTATCGTTTAGCTTAACTAATGTACATTTTGTAGATTTCTTTTCATTTTTGCAGTTTTTTTTTTAAACAGTTTCCACTTTCTTTCCAATATTTTTGTAAACGGATTTTCTATGCATATGCATATAATAATATCAGTATATATATATATATATATTGCTATACACATAAAAGCAATTTTTATATAATTTAGTTTTTGTAACTTTTGAAGTTGTTTCGTTAAATTGAGTGAAAGCATTTTATTGAATTTTTTTAAAATTTATTTTTGATATTGATTCGATTGTTGTTGTTTTTGTGGATAATGTTGTGCATACAGCTGCAGCAGTTGGCTCAGACATTGAACTATACACACATATATAGTTATCTATATAGATATATAGCATTAGAAACCGGGAGGTAAATTAGCGGTTTTGAATTGTATTTGGATCTTGGATTTGGTGCCTACAATTGCAAGTAAAACAGCCGAACTTGGGTCAACTATATGCACAACTATTTTTTTTTCTTTTTTTTAACTTTTTTTTGGATTAGCGTTATTTAAAAAACACACATAAAACTCTTTAAAATGATCGTTCTTCTTTTTTTTCTACATACACGTAAATATTTGTTAACAGTTTTTAAAAGAGGAAAAGAAAAAAAACGAGCGTCTTCTTTTGAAAATTCGTTGTTAATACAGTTAGGAAAAGGTTCCAAATGAACTGAAAAACTAGCAGAATTTGTGCTGTCAGATACCGTGACGGTTACTAGGTTAACCATTAGTTAGGTTGTTATACGAATACATATACATATATAATACATATAACTCTTATAATATCAATGCAGGTGTTTTTTTTTTTTTCCTTTTCTTAGTTTTTTTTTTTTTGTTTGTTCTTTTGCAACTACACAAATCGTAATTCAACTTTGTTAATAACATGTATATTTTGTAGGTACTTTTTATAGCTACATATATATATAAATACATATCTGTGTGTATATATATATATGTATATATAAATACGTATAGGGTCAGAGTGGCAAAGAACCGTTTCGAATAGTCGACGGCACACACTCTCATGCACTTGTCGATGTGTGTGATCGGTATACATATATATATATATATATGAAGATTGCACGATAGTTGTAGTTATAGTTGTTGCTATGATTGCTGATTGATAGACTAATAGTTTTGGCGACGCCCACGTGGCTTTAACCGCTCCGATATCTGCCACATCTCCTCCTCGCCCATAAAGTCCTTGAAGTTATCAAAGAAGCCAATAATTCGCTCATTGCGTCGAAAGTGATATGCGCTGAAAATGATTGTAAATTATTGTTTATTTCGGATCAAATCTCAAAATGTAATCTATGTGTTCACCATTTCTTGAAACGCTTCATGTTCACAATGATGTTGTATTGTTGCCAGCGCTTCGAAAAATTAATAACGCCCTTGGACACATAGTCCTGATTGCCCACATGCACAAACGTGAGGTCCTGTAGTACTAGACCGCTGAAATATACATATACAATGATATCAGTATTACTCTCCACTAGTTGACAAATATCTTGTGCCTATTACAGGGTATATGTATATAATAAATATATTCATATACACTTACATGTAGGGAATGCAGGGTGGATTGGTTTCGGCCAGCGCCTGGCGATACGCGCGAAAACTGGAGCTTGAATCGATGAGAGCGCAAAAGGAGCGCACCTCCTCCGTAATACTCTTCTGCCATTCCAATCTGTAAGAATATATATATATTTGACTGATTCCGTAGATAACAGATATATATATATATATATATATATATAGAGAGAGAGAGAGAGAGAGACTGACTTACCTGCGTATGGGACCCGAGTCGAGGGCGGAGAGCAGCGCCAGATAGGAATTGTAGTTGTTCATTTTGCGCAAATGCTTCATGATTTTGATAAATTTGTTGACGTGCTTTTCGCGCTCCTTGGCATCGGTTAGCCGTAAGATTTTGGAGCGCACCCAATAGGACATTTTGTTGAAGTGCTCGGTGAACTTGTTGAGATTCGGCGATTTCTCCTCGCACTGATCTTTGGCAAATAATAATACTTCGGGTATTTCGATTTTCTGAAACAATTCCGCATCGAGCAGCGTCATCTGCTCGGCAATCTCCAATGACTTGAGATCGAGCAGATTGGGCTGATTTGCTGGATTGCTGCTAGTCTGCGGATCGGGCACAAAGCACAAGGGCGTCCTCAGATCCTTATACAGGGTCACCTTTTCCACAAACTTGATGCGCAACAGCTTGGCCAGATACAGTTGGCCCGAGCAGACCAATTGATACACAAACTCTACCAGCAAGCTAAGCAGCTGGCTTGTCAGATCCGTCGACCTATATATATATATATTTCAAAACTTTCGGTTTCGATTTCGGTTTCGATAAACTTACGTTAGATCGTTGACAACGCGAACAAGCAGCGAGAAGGTCTCCTTGGCGGCCTTCTGCTTCTGATCGTGCACCTGACAGAAGAAGTATGTGTAGCGATGGGTCAGCTTCTCGATCACATCGATTGGCTGAATGAACGTGCGAAAGGTGGTGATGAACGCCTCGCTGAATGCTGCACGAACGGAATGGACAACAAATGGATTTGGATTAGGGTTACGTTGACGATTTCTTGAGACAATGCTGTGTGAATTATGATTGTGTTTCTGTTTTTGTTTGGATTTGGATTTGGAGTTGGATTTTGATATAGGAATGGTGAAATGATGGGGCTGATTTTGATGCTGCCTACCATTTTCGGACACCTTCTGGACGCAACTGGCGTGCACGATCAGGGCATCAATGTAGCCGGCTTTGACTTCTGGACCATCCTCTGCACGATTTTTGAGTATTAGATATGGCGTTATATCGAGCTCTTCTAGCATATTTGGCAATTGATTATCGACTTGCTCCTCATCCTCCTCCTCCTCCTCGTCCAGCAATTCGAGCTCCTCTTCCCCCATGCCCAGCTGCTGCTTAGCATCTAGCTGTAGTTCGGCGGGCACAGATTTGCGACGCTCCTCACTTTTCTCGGCTTTCTGCTCCGCATTGAGTTCCAGCAGTTTGGGCGAAGGTTCGCCGGAACCAACACAAGATGCAGCTGCCTGGGACTCATCGCAACTGGGCAACTGATGTGACTGGCAATCAACAATGATTGCAGTGCCAGCCGCAGCTCCAGATTGAGCTTCAGCTGCCACATCCTCATCCAACATTGTTATCGCATTGTTGTGCTCCTCGCAAACCGTTGTCAGATTCTTGGGCTTGGGACTCGCCGGTGGTGTTGTTATAATTGGTAATGTTATCCCCATTGTCGATGTCGATGATTTGCGCTGCTTGTAATTCTTGGGCGGCAGCGCCGGCGGCGTCTCCATCTCCGGTGACAGCTCCTTATTCACTGTCATCATGCTATTGACAAAACAAACAAAATACTCAATTACCAATAAGGAATTAGCAAGAGATACCGATCTTTGTAAGAGATCTTTCTCAGTTTGAGTGCCTCCATTAGGAAATGGATATCTATATGGGAAATGGGATCTATAAAATGTTCTCACGCAGACCCAGACCAAGTATATGCTCTAAGTTGCAAGGCATTCTGGCATTCTAGGTTTTCTAGGTTATTCGGCTGACACGGACAGACACACCCGTTGCACAAGGCCAATATACTCTATTTATACCTTGCATCGCGACCTGTTAGATCTATTGTGCCCCCTTCTGAGACTATAGCTCTTCCATTAGCCCCAGGTCCCCTACGAATGCTAGGATCGTTGTTGGGTTGAGGTCTTCTATGTCTCTAAAATTCAAGACGTGCATCCGTAGGATGCTACATCTTCTTGCATCCGTAGGATGCTACATCTTCTTCTAGCTAGTGCGACACATTCTGTTAGGATGTGTATCGAGGATTCCTTCTCTCTTTCACAGAACCTGCAGAGATCGCTACTATATATACCTAGTCTAGTTAGGTGACTTTTAGTTTACAATGTCCCATCATTAGACCGATAAGTATCCTAAGATTGTTGTGTATCTATATACTTACTTGAGGGTCTGGCTATGCGACATGCTGCGACCGATGTTGTAGGCGTGCATTGTATGACGATGCTGCTCCACCGAGTGCGAATTTGCCGAGCAAATCTCCATGTAAACCAGAACTGAGACACAAAACAATTATTTAGTACAATTGCTCAAAATAACAAGCAAAAAAACAAAAAAATAAATGAAAATTGCAAATGGGAACAAAACAAGCGCAACGAACTGTGCCAAAGCAGCAATCCATACAATCAATGGACAGCAATGGGGATCTCCGCTTCATTTGCGCTCCATTTTGCCAGACAGCCAAAGAGAGACAGAGAGAGAGAGAGAAAGAAGCAGGGAGAGAGACAGAGATAGAGAGAAATTTTAAACACTGTTTTCTAACTTTTTTCCAACTTTTTTGTTTCGTGTTTGCCAACCCGAATCGAATTTAGTTTCTGCTTTCGATTCTGGTACTTGAGGCAGGCGACAGCTAAACTCAAATATAAAATCCGAACCGCTGAATTTCATTACTTCTGCATTTTTTTTTTTTATTATTTGCATTTACACTTTTTAAATATTTGAATATTTCTAGAGAAATAGAAATAAACAGCCTTTCAAAATTTTACATTCCGATTCTGAATTGAAATACGGTTCCGATTCCATTTCTGGTTTGATACCCAAAATCTTCTATTTTTAAATATTTCGAAAATTGATCTATGACAAAAAAAAACAAACTTCAAAATATTTTTCTGTATGGCACAAGTTTGCACATTGAAGAATGTTAATATTGAAATCTCTGGTTTAGAGCTATTTATGGGTAGCTTTTTCTTAAATAAACTTTCTCTCTGTGTATCCCTCTCCCTCGTTTTCTCTCTGCAGCTTTGGTAGTAATGCTTAAACTGCACTTGGAAGTTTGTCTGGCATCAAATTTGACAAACGTTTCAATTCATTTATAATTATTAAATGTATTATTAAACCACAATAAGCGCGTAACAACAAACAACAAAACCAATAACACAATTGTTGGTCAGGACGAAGAGAAACAAGAAAAAAAGGAAAAAAATAAAGTTCTTGCAACGAGAGGAAATTAATTTGCATAAAAAAAGAACAGCAACAGCGTTAAAAAGCATGGTCTAAAACTTAACACAAAGTTTGAATACCCTCTCCAACATACAAAAATTAAAGTATTTCCATACACAAAATTTCGTTATTGCTGCAAGTCGGAACACAAATTAAATCGCTTTTGCAAAGGAACGTTGTGGAATGGAACACAAAAAGGCTTCGCTTACTGCTTTGATTAGAGGGGGAGGATATGCAAAAGCAAAGCATTAAAACCGAAATAACGAAAAACGAAACGAGCGAACAATTTGAATAAAAGCTAAGAAAACGAAACGTAACGAAAGTGGGTAAGGGGGCGGGGAGTAGGCGCAGAGAAGCAGAGAAGCAAGAGGATCAGCAAGAAACTTACCCGAAAAGGCGACACTCTGAAACACTAGATGTTGATTGGAACGTAAATTTAGATGGGTTAGAGTTTTGCGTACAACAATTTGGCAAGGTTTTGTTTCTGTTTTTATTTCTGTATTCGTTTTCGTTTTCGTTTTTGTTTGAATTTGAATTTGCTCATTGATGAGTTGCTTATGAGTGCTATAAATAAAAGTTTTGCTACAAAAATCTTAACTGTCGCTAAATCAAATAGTACACAAAAATAAATATATGTAATTAAGTTGAATGTATTTATAGATGATATTTTTGCTGATTGCTGATTGTTGTTGTTGTTGTTCTTGCTGCTTGTTGCTTTTGGATGCTGTTGTTCGTCTGATTGGGGGGTGAGGGGGTTTCGAAGGGAAGGTGTTGTTTTTTTTTTTATTGTTGTAGGTGTATTGTTTAAAAAAAATGTATAAAAATTGTATATATATATATATATATATACATACATATATAAGTCGAAGGTCTAAGACCATAAACTGGCGACTTTCATGTATTGTGTGTCCTTGTGAATGGATGGATGCAAAAACAACCAAAGAAAACACAAAATGCAAAAAGAAAGTCATACAAAACTGTGACTGAAGTAATTGTGTTGGTGTTGGTGTGTGTGGTGAATTTCACCACACACATGCACACACACACACACACACACTACAGATATAAACAATATGTTGAAAAACTCACCGCTTGGCATTGCCTATGGCGACACCTGGCGTTCAAGTTTAGAACCACAAAAAAAAACAATTTATGTAAAATAAACAGTTGCACATGCACAAATATGTTACACACACACACACATTTACATATGTACAATGCAATATGTATACACCGACAAAAGAAATAATCATAGAAAAAAGAAAAAAAAAATAAAAGAAGACAATGTAAATAACTGTGCGCATTGAGCGATTGCACTTACTGTTCTTCTTCTTGGCGGGCAGCGGCGGTGGCTCATCTAATTGGCATTTAAATGTGTTATTGCCACAACTGTTGGGCAACTGTGCGCTGCGCGGCGGCTCCATCAAACTGTGATGCTTGGTGTGCCACTGATTCAGCTGTGTCGACGACGAGTGATGCTGCGGCGGATGCGGCGACAATGTTCGCAACTCCGGCATTTCACTGCAAGCCAAATGAAGGCAGCGAGAGAGAGAGAGAGAGAGAGAGAGTTAAGTGAGAACCAAACAAAATAATCACACAAGAAACAGTTAACAGTTAACAGCCGTTCAATCAGCTGCTCATTGTCGATCGATTAATGTAGTTGTTATCGATCGATCAATGTGGAATGAGCGAGTGCAATTATCAAACTGTCAATCGTCGTTTTGGAACCTACTAATTATCATCCAGCTCATCCACGGCGGCATCAAAGCGCGACATTGCGGATCGCTGCTGGGTCTTTGGTGGCAATGCTGGCGCCAGTTCCGCTGATGACGATGATGAGCAATCGATGCCGCTAATTATTGTTGTTGCTGTTGCTGCTTTGCTGCTGCTGCTAATGCTACTATTGTTGCTGTTGTTGCTGCTGGTGATGTGGCTGCGTTGCGTTAACTGCGTTTGGCTTATCTGCTGATACTCGTTGCTGCTGCTGCTTCGACTGGCCGTTGTTGCCGTTGCTATCGCCGAAGACGAGGACGAGGATGTTGTCTCGCTGTTGCTGCTGAACGCCATCTCCGAATTGCTGCTCGTCGATTTTGTCGAGGATTGCACACTGTGCTCAGAGGATCGCTTGGAAACGCTATGCGAGGACGTACGAAATGACATCATCGACACGAAACCTGCAAAAGCCCAGACACAACATTAATAATCAGTTGCAACAAACAACAATAAAAAACACAAAACAACAACAAATTATAAGCTAAATGCACTCAGAAAAACCAATCACCCTGAAGTAATTATAGATTACGCAAACATTCTACATAGTTTATAAATGCATATAATATAATTTGAAAATTTGATATCTAATGTCTAAAAGCCGAGTCAGTAAATTTCATTACTTGTTTATGAATTTTAGAAATAATTCTTCGAAAAACTTATGCATTTCTTAATACTAGAAAAGATTTATAAAAATCAAAAATAATTTTTAGAAAATTCTTCTAATCTATTTAGAAATTGTTCTAAAAAAAAACAACAAGAAAAACTTCTTAGTTTTCAAGTAAATTTTGATTTTGGGAAATTTTTCTCAAAATCAGCTGAGATTGGTGATTTCTGAGTGCACAATACAATTTCGAAAACTTAATACAACTCGTGGGATTGGTTGGAGACAAACGCAAACACAAAACAAACTAAACATCAAAGCGAAACAAAGCGAAATAATTAAAGCAAACAACAAATAAAATATAGATAAAATATTATATAGTATATACTGCAACTGAAAAAAATAAATATCTCAAATAAAAATGTAATGTATTTTCATCTACTTTAGTTAGTTGAAAAGAAAATTATGAGTTTCGAACTATAAATACGATATAAAAATAAATACCTCAAATGAAAGTTGAAATGAATTAGTTAAAAATCCTGCTTTTTCCAGGAAAACGTTTCATTTAAATACAATTTTTTTTTGTTTTTGCAAAATAATATACAGAATTTGATATATTGTAATATGTGATTAACATTTTGGATCAAAAATGATTTTAAATTCAAATGTTTTGGTGAACGTTTTCTGGTATTTAACTTGTTATATTCATATTTTGAAAATGTTTCAATTGCTTGAGAAAATACATTTGGTCTAATAAATGACATACATTTTTCTGAATATGTTTGTGCAGAGCTTTTTAACAAACAATAAGCAGTCTAAAAGATATAGGAAATAGATATAGAAAGAAATTGCCTGAAATACCCGATTCATTTGAATGACGATTGTTGCTTAGAGGTGTCGAGACTTTGCGCAACTCCGTGCTGGCCTCAGCTGTGGTGAGAACAGCGCCGGGACGAGAGCCCGGACCAAAAGTGACAGCCATCTGAGAACTTGACGTGGCTGCCTCCTGGTTTAGCTGAGCAGCAGCAACAACACTAGGCTCAGATGGAGCTGGAGCTGAAGCTGGCGTCTCTGATGGGCGCAGTCGATGTGTGGTAGAGGTTGTTGTTGAATTGCAGTTCGAATTTATGGTTGTTGCTAGCCTGTACTCACTGTAACTGATCAGCTTGTCCACATCGTCAACTGCGAGATGATGGTGCATCTGCTGCTGTTGTTGTTGTTGTTGTCTCGTTGGCGGCTTCTGCAATTGCAATTGCAAGTGTTCCTCCTCCTCCTCGCGGGAGTGATTTAGCGCCGAGTCGATCGAGCATTGGCTATTTTCATCGGGGGAACGCGACCGTACCGAGAGGCTGTAAGAGAACGAGTAATTCGATGAGTATATCGAGCGTATCGAGCGAGTAGTTAACTAAGGGAATGAACGAGCAAATTAATCGGGCGAATAGTTAATTAAGTTAATGAACTGTTGAAGTTTATCGAACGGGTAAGTTGGGCGTGAATGAGCGAGTAAGTAAATCGACGTAGTAGTAAAATTGGCGAATGAACGAGTAAGTAAATCGAGTCAATAAGAGTGAATGTGAATAAATGATTAAGTGTATCAAGCAATCAATTGGAGAGTGACTGAGTGATTAATTAAGAAAATCAATGCATGAGTAAAATAGAAGTTTAGATTAAATTTAGAGGGCTCAAGCGAGTAAAGAAGTTAGCTTTAGCGAAAATAAGTTGTGCAAACTATTCAAGTATCAAATTTCTTTAGAATCGGGTCAAACAATGAAGTGAGCGTTAGTTAGTCAGTTAGTGATGTGAATGAGTAAGTCAATCGGGCGAGTAATGAAATTTGTTTAAACCAGTAAATGCAATAAGAAGTGAATAACGTTAATCTAGAAATAACTTTTGGATTGCGTTAAATAATAAGGGAGTTAACTTGAGCGAGCGAGCGAGTGAGCAAAAAGTAGCGAGTGTAAATGGGAAATAGAGAGAAAGCCAGCAACTAACCGATCGACGCCAAAGTTAAGCAGCGACAAATTTGAACTGCAGTCCAAATCGGAGTTGATGCTTATGTTGTGCGTCTGGGCATACGGCAAGGGGCTGTTCGCCTGCGACGAGTGGCTGGTGGTTGTGGTGGTGTTCGTACTGTTATTTGGATTCGTGTTTGTGCTTGTATTCGCCAGCTGTGATTGCGGCTGGCTGCGACGCTTTGGTGGTAACGGTGGCGGATTGCTGGACCGATCGGGCAGCGGTGGCTTTGGCGGCGGGCTCGTGTCGCGCAATATGCTCTCGGTGCTGTGAGAGCCGCGCATCGGATTTGAATTGCTCTGTTCGAGAATATCGCGCTCCTTGGGTGTCAGTCCAATGTCTGGTAGCGATGTGCGCTGTGCCACCGCTGCTGCAGCTGCATCCAACGGCGTACGCATCACACCACCAGCCATTCCACCTGCTGCAGTTGCTGCGGTAACGGCGCCCATTATGTCGGCGGCGGCACCAATGCCACCCAATCCAGAACCGCCATAGCGAAACGCGCATTGATCCTGCTCCTTCAGTTTGCCCTGCGCTAGTGTGACCAGATTCTATAAGAGACCAAAACATATATTTATATATATATATTTATATGGCAACAGATTTGTGGATTATTATGCATTTAAATACCTTAGAAATCTTGCTAATATTTCTTATATTTTTAATTTTTAATTAAATAGCAAAGTGGATTTGTAGCGGACTTACGCGGACTGCATCCTCGAGGAGATCAATGACCTCGCGCACATTCTCATTGCTGAGGGAGGCGCACTCGCCGCTCTTCTCGCTGAGCATCACCTCGTCGCAGAGCTTGATGAGCTTGCCAAGAGATTGATAGACCTGCTGTGTGGCTGAGCTCATGATGGCACTGTTCTCATTCAGCGTATACTTCTGAATGACTATAACGAACAGAAAATAATTATTATGATTATGATTATGATCTTGTTTTTTTTTGTTTTTAGAATATTAACTAACCGGAATACATGCTGGCAATGGTCTCCAGTATGACCGTACCATTGCCGGGCAGTACCTCCAGTTTCTTTTTGAGTATGACATCACGAAAGTGCTTGAGCGCATTCGATATATCCTTGACGTGCGTCTCCAGCGTCTGTGTGGATCGCTGGACCTCTTCGGTGGTTGGCGGCGGCTTTGCTCCATGCTTGTTGCGCGGACTGTGCGGCGAATGTGATCGACCCAGAGTATTGTTTGTGGTGCGCATCAGTGAGATCTTCTCAATCAGATCGTCCTTGAAGGAGCGCGCTCGCTTCGCCAATTTCGTACCCTTCAAACTGTTCTTATGCCCCGACGATCCACTACCCGATGACGATGTCGATGTCGCATTCGCATTCGGCGGTGCTGGCGGTGGCACACCAACGCCAACAGTTCGTCCTGTTCCACCACTACTCAGATGATGATGGTGCTGCTGCTGCTGCTGTGGTGTTGTCGGTGGCGGTGGCGTTGTGGATGAGCTAGACGAGTGTCCGGTATAGGTGCTGCCACTGTTGATGCTGTTGTTGCTGCTGCTGCCGCCGCAGCCACCGACGCCGACCGCCGAACAATTGCTGGGCGTGGATGGAGAACTGATGCTGCCGTCTGTGCGTGGAGTGGAACGAACAACAAAATGTACAACATTATAAGCAATACAATATATATATATATAAATTAATAGTTAAGAAATAACTTAATATTAATATAAATATCATACACATTATTTTTCCTTGCACAAAAAACTTTACTAGGTATTTATTTCAGAAGAATATTCCATAGATGGTGAACAGAAATTGTTAAAGTTCGATTGTATTGCAGTTAAGTCTGAATGATTGTTCCAATTGAATATATGTGTATGTAAATTCATTTCAGTCACACTGTGACTAAACCATAGACAAAACACTGAAACTCACTCACAAGGAAGGCGTATTACGCATTTGTGAATCACAATCAGAACTTTAAAGTATGATTCAGACTGACTCCGAGTGTTAAGCACTTATTGTATTTCAAGAATTCGTGACGAAAACCAAAAAAAGTTGACATGCAAAGTTCCAATAACCCAAGGAATGCCCCCCATCCAAAACTTTCGAGAAACCGAAACCGATCTAAAAGGAAGAGAGATATAGCCTTATCATTATTATTAAGGTATATGCTTGAAGTAAAAGGAATGAACTTCGAGCCGGAATAATACAAATTTGCCGAACGAAGCGAATAATTCAAATACTCAACAAATTCAAATACTCAACAATATATATATATATATATATAATATATATTACTTTTCTATTGGTTTTGACTTTCGCTGTGGTTGACAATGAATATTTATATTTATTTATATATAATTTGTATGTGTGTGTAAAAATGGATCAGAGACCTTCACGTGTTGCTCTTTCACATATTCAAATTCGCATATTAACATAATAATATTATATATATATATATATATATATATATATATATATATATAATGCTTGTTTTTCAATCGCAAACATCAAATGGGAAATGGGGAAAGATCGCGACAAAAACCAGCGAAAGATAGAGAGACTAACTAACTAACTCAGGGAGAGAAGGTATTTGAAATACTCTGTAAAATGTCAGAACACGAAATGTGCACAACGTGAATACCCCTAATGCTATGTATAAATTTTAGATTCTGTTAGCAATATGCGGGAACTACCTCCGACCACATAGAGCAAATATATTGCTCGATCGGATCGATCTAGCCATGTCTGCCTGGCCTGTCTGCCCGTTAAAATTTTGTGTTTGAATTGCTCGTTTCAATTACGCATTTCAAGATTATTTCACTTTTATGAATATCGATCAAAATCGATTAGCGATAACAAACATAGATACAATTTTAATGGCATATTCTTTCATTGAATAATTTGCACATTCAACTAGCTAATATGCTGCATTCGATAATTAGCTAGGGTATTTGCACATGTGGCGCACTCTTATTTGATTTGCATGATGTTGATGATGAACGACGAACGATGAACGGTAAACGATCCAAAGCCACCCACCCAAAAACCAAACCACCAAACACACGCTAATTGGTTACGCGAAAGAGAGAAAGAGAGAGGGGGGAGGGGGTATACATGCACACACACAAACACATATGTGTGTAAATGTGTGTGTATGTTTATGTTAGCTTTCACTTACAGAGCAACACATTCTTGACTAGCAAACACGGCGATTGTGGTGTCAATGATGATGTGCTTGATGTTGGTGTTGCTGGTGCTGTTGGTGTTAGTGTTGGTGTTAGTGTTGGTGTTGACGTTAGTGTTGATGTTAGTGTTGGTGTTGTTGTTGTTGTTGTTGATAATGCCAAACGTGGCCATTTTTTATATTTGCGTCGCCTGTGGAATTTGATGTCATGCAGCGTAGTTTTATTGCTGCTGCTGCTGCTGTTGTTGTTGTTGTTGTTATCTCGCGACGCAGACCACCGAGGCGGTTGCTGATGATGATGTTGTTGTTGCTGCTGTTGGTAATGATGTGGTTCATCTTGAACGTGCGGTTGCTTCACTGTATACGAGTAGAAACGCCAGCGTTCGGCGAGCGCGCAATCGCTCAAGAAAGATTCATCAAATTGCGGCATTTTTCAACGGATTGCATAACAACACACAACACTCAACACACATTTAACAACAACAAGGGAAAGTACTACAAATACACATAATACTGCAATGCAGCTGGTATTATTGTTAAGTGTCTCAAGTTATATTATGCATACAGTTAGATTAGCCAGTCAGTCTTCAGTTACAAAGTGTACTTTTTATTGCTTTTCCTTCTTTTTTTTTTTTGCACAAGTTTTTTTTTAAATACTTTTTCTTTTTTTATTTTTTATTTTTTTGCAGAAGTATTTTTTAAACAATTTGTTTTCTTGTGGCACTTTTATAGAGTAATTGTTGTTGTTTTCCCAATTAAATAAATCACACAAATATTATATTTAGACTAAACGCGACCAGCTGCTGCTGCTGCTGCTGTCGTCAGCGTTGTCGTCTGGAAAGCGCACTGAACTATGAAAATCCGCAAAACGGCAAAAACGGCAATAGCCAGCAGCCAGCAGCCAGCTAGCCAGGTCCGCTAACCAGCCATTAAACAGCAATAGCAACAACAACAACAACAACGACAGCGACAACAATAACAACAACGTTGTTGTCGCTAAGAGTAACAACAACGTATAACAGCGCATCAAATGGCACTCGCTCCCAAACAACAACTCTAGAGACAAGACAAGAGACTTGCCTTGCTCGCCGCAACAAGCAACCTGAGAGAAAAGTTGTCAGCGCCGAGGTTTTAATGCTCTTGCTTATGGCCAAATCGATTATACACTCAGAAAAACAATTACGCTACATTTTAATAAACTACACTAAAAGTATTCATATGAAAAAACAATAATAATTTTTATATATTAGGATAAAATCAAATTTAGAAAGGCTTGCGCTAATTTGACTTTTTTTTAGAAACGTTTTCTATTATTTAGAAAAACAGTTCTAAAAAAGTAGAAACAAAAGCCAAAATTTGTAGAAAACATTCTTTCTAAAATTCAGAAACAAGTTGTAAAATTTACCAAGATTTTATATTATGTCGTCTGCCAGAGTGAACTCAACTCGCGAACCAAGATTCCCCGTGAAATCGTAAGGTCCTTCAAGTAGTATAGACTATGTAAAAATTGTTTTGTATATGTGAAATCGAATACAGTAATGTTTGTTCATAATTTAAGTGACAAAAAAGCTAATAAGAATTATAAGAAAACCACATGCTCGAGTTTAGATATATATTTTTGCTCAAAATGTACAAAAGCTAAAGTTAACAAGTTTAGATATAGCCAAGTTAACTGTGCGATAATCAAGCGAAAATTCAAAAACTATATAAGGAATGGATTGATGTCTGTAAGGTTATTGTTAGCTGGAATTGTGCCCCCTTTGCCGGGGCAAAGTTGCATCATCTTGCAAATGTTCGCTTTGTCGCTAATGTTTGCTTGGTAGCATTAAAGCACTCGTAACTTTTGAGCTTTAAAAGACGGCTCCTGCTATATATATTCTAATATATAATATTGCTTGTATCAGTAACGCACACCGTTCTACAAATATCAGCAAAAATCGATTACCGATAGAAAAAAAAATAAACACAATTTTAATGACAGAAATGTTATTAAAAGATTGGTTAAAAAGTCTTCTGCAACAACATCACATGGGAAATTGAAATACTCTCAGCTAGGGTATACAAACAACGCCAGCAACAAAATTCACACTCGCTTAACAACTTTTCTCTCTCTCTCTGTCTATCTTTCTCTTTTTCTCTGTTCCAGCTGCTCTCTGTTATCATTTGGGCTCGTCGTGACTCTCTTTTTTACTTCTCTCGGGCTCATTATTGAATTTTTGGGTGTTTGAGGCGGGCATTTGAAATACCCTAGAAAACAGACATAGTCATATATCGTTCCAGAAACTATAAGAACTTATGCCATATTTTTAATTTATATGCTGCTAAGATTATCTATAATTTAAGTAAATTTTTTTCACAACACCACAAATTCAATTCCAACTAAAAACATTTTGCGTGATCTTTTAATTCTGACAGCTTTAGGAAAATTTACTCAACTGTCTATCTGCAAGCCACGAGAGAGAGCGCCTCCAGAAAAAAGAGCATTCCTAAACAGCTTCTTTTATATTATTTTATTTATATTTTTTTTTTTGGCCCCAGGGCCCGGCTGCTGTTTCAGTGGGGTTTTTCTTTAATTCGCAAGTGGCGCTCGATCGTGACTTGCCTTGAAATGAGTTGCTTTTTTCTGTGGAAGCTGAAGTTGAAGGCGAGAGAAAAAGAAAGAAAGAAAGAAATACAGAAAGATAGAGTAGAAAAGCCAATACCTAAATACCTGCAAACATATAAACTTGTATGTATATACCCCTTCCCGTCAACCTATTCCAAATCAATTGTTGAAATTTAAGAAAAAGTGAAATTACGCGCTTAAACCACAGGGAGTGATAAATAATACAAAAAAAAAACAAACATTTTCCATGCAGCGTAACTGCTTAATACTCATGCATAACACTCACAATCCAAATTTGGAGGCAATCGAATCCATTAAAAAAAATTAATTAAAGATTAAATCAATTTGAGCAGAACAAATAGCCTAGAAATATATCATTGATTTTCACTATTATTAAACATTTGCTGCGTTTCTTGAAGACCCGCACAAAACAGAAACAATATTTATTGATTAATTTGTTCATTCAAAATTTGATACTAGATATTTTCAAAAAAAAAAAATTCTCTTTAGCTGTGAAAAATGAAGCTTAAGCTTAAAATTTTTTAAAATTTTCGAATGACTATTTTTTTTGTAGATTATTATGCTTTCTAATTACCCTAAACAGCAGAAGAAATAAACTAAGAACAATAACAAAGTATTTAAGTAAGAATGATCTAGTCGAGAGTGTTCAACTGGCAAATTCCACCCTGAATTCAGTTGTCAAATATGTATAATCGATTCAAAAATTAACAGTTTCTTCAGTTCAATTTCAATTCAATTCTTCTCACACAAATATATGATTTATACAAAAAACTTAATTAACCCAATATTGCAAATAGGGGCGGCAGTTTCT